AAAAATAGAATGATAGATTCCGCATTGAAGCTGTTCGATGAAATGTCTGAGAAAAGCATCACGCCTGATGTTTTCACTTACAGTGCGTTGATACACGGCTTTTGCGATCTGAGTCGTTGGAAAGAAGTTAAAATGTTGCTAAAGGAGATGATGGATTGCAAGCGATACCCAAATGTGGTGACGTACAATACTATCGTCGATGCTTTATGCAAAGAAGGTTTGGTGGATGAAGCCGAAGACGTGCTCCAAATCATGATGCTGAAAAATGTGATCCCGGATGAATTCTCCTACAATTCTTTGATGGATGGATATTGTCTGCAAGGGCGAACGGATGAAGCTCGGAAGGTGTTCGATTCCATGGCCAGCAAGAATATTTTTCTCGATGTTCAGAGCTATAACATTTTAATCAATGGATATTGCAGAAAAATGAAAATAGACGAAGCTGTGGATCTCTTTCGTGAGATGCCCAACGGAGGGTTGAAGCCTAACGTGGTTACGTATAATTCTCTATTAAATGGGCTGTTTCGTGGCGACAGGTGTTCTTGTGCACTGAAGCTTTTTGACGAGTTACAGGCTGCTGGACTGAAACCAGACTTCTATACTTACTCTCACTTGTTGGATGGACTATGCGCAAACGGGCATATCGAACGAGCATTATTGTTTTTGAACGAGTTGGAGCAAAGGGGAGAACATCGTCGAATTAATTACTATAGTGTCATCATCGACGGATTATGCAAAGCTAAGAAACTTGATAAAGCTCGAGCTATTTTTAAACATCTTCCTTCAAAAGGATTGGAGCGTAATGTGGTAACATACAATATTCTGATAAAAGGATGTTGTCAAAGCGGGCTACTTGAAGAAGCTAAAGATCTTCTTTTGAAGATGGAACAAGAAAGTTTGTTGCCTAATCGGGTTACGTTTAATTGTATTGTTCAAGGAAATCTAAAGAGGGGCAAATACGAAGATGCAGCAGAGTTTCTCGAGGAAATGGTTTCTAAAGGATTCTCCCCAGATTCATCTACATTTGCCTTGCTGCTTGATTTACTCGGTACAAAGGAACAAGAGCCTACAATTTTTAAAATGATCCAAAAGTTCGCTCCGACTACTTTAAAACCAAAACTATGAGCAGAAGAACTCTTATGTCTTCAATGTGTGAAGATGGAGAAGATTTGGATTATCTGTCCAGTGCTGTTTAAACAGGTACGGGCTTTTTTGTTCTCTTGAATAAATAGTTGGATGGAATTATATTACAGTAGGAGAGGCATAAGCAGGAAATTATTGCTGTCGGTATAACCAGGAAAAATTATAGTATAATGACAAATAACTTGTATCAAAGTTTTTTCCCTGAAATTTTTTGATGCAAGCATAAATCTAATGGATTCGCTACGAGTAGTAATGAATAAAAATGATATTTTTCGAGATGTTGGTTTGATTGCATATCTTAATCAATTAAGGCAATTTCTTGATCAACTGAAAAAGATGAACATACATAAAACGTAGAGAGTTGCCTATTATGAATTGTATTCTCATTGTTCATACTTCTGTTTATAAATTCTAATTCCGTAATCAACGGATATTGCAGAAAGACGAAAAATGACGAAGCTGTGGATCTCTTTCGTGAGATGCCCAATAGAGGGCTGAATCCCAATGTTGTTACGTAACTTCTCTATTGCATGGGCTATTTCATGGCGGAAGATGTTCTTGTGCACTGAAGCTTTTTGATGAGTTACAAGCTGCTGGACTGAAACCAAATTTCTATACTTACTGTGACTTATTGGATGGACTACGTGCGAACGGGCATGTTGAAGAGGCATTTTCGTTGTTGAATGAGTTTTGGAGCACAAGGGAGAATATCTTCGAATTATTTACTATAATGTCATCATCGATGGATTCTGCAAAGTTAAGAAACTCTGGTATTTTTAACAATCTTCCTTCAAAAGGATTGGAACGTAATGTGGTAACATACACTAAACTGATAAGCGGATGTTTTGATCGTCCTCGAGTTCGATAAAATAATTGGATTTTCATTAGATTATTTAATCTCATCTTGGTTAATCATTTGATGATTGGAAAATGATTTACGAATCAGCCCGGTTTGATTGTGCTCTGATCTTGGGTTGAAGTATTAAAGTGGGTAGGTTGATACGAAAGGCCCACAAGGCGGAGGCCCGTGCAATTGGGCTGAAATATGCCTTTAGTGTCATCATCGACGGATTATGCAAAGCTAAGAAACTTGATAAAGCTCGAGCTATTTTTAACCATCTTCCTTCAAAAGGATTGGAGCGTAATGTGGTAACGTACAATATTCTGATAAAAGGATGTTGTCAAAGTGGGCTACTTGAAGAAGCTAAAAATCTTTTGAAGATGGAACAAGAAAGTTTGCTGCCTAATCGGGTTACGTTTAATTGTATTATTCAAGGAAATCTAAAGAGGGGCAAATACGAAGATGCAGCAGAGTTTCTCGAGGAAATGGTTTCTAAAGGATTCTCCCCGGATTCATCTACATTTGCCTTGCTGCTTGATTTACTCGGTACAAACGAACAAGAGCCTACAATTTTTAAAATGATCCAAAAGTTCGCTCCTACTACTTTAAAACCAAAACTATGAGCAGAAGAACTTGTCTGTCGACAATGTGTGAAGATGGAGAAGATTTGGATTATCTGTCCAGTGCTGTTTAAACAGGTACGGGCTTTTTTGTTCTCTTGAATAAATAGTTGGATGGAATTATATTACAGTAGGAGAGGCATAAGCAGGAAATTATTGTTATAGTATAATGATAAATAACTATCAAAGTTTTTTCCCTGAAATTTTCTGATGTAAGCATAAATCTAATGAATTCGCTACGGGTAGTAAAGGATAAAAAGATATTTTTCGAGATTTTGGTTTGATTGCATTTCTTGATCAATTAAGGCAATTTCTTGATCAACTGAAAAGGATGGACATGAATAAAACTTTAAGAGTTGACTATTATGAATTGTATTCTCACTGTTCATACTTCTGTTTATAGATTCTAATTCCCATAATCAATGGATATTGCAGAACGATGAAAATAGACGAAGCTGTGGATCTCTTTCGTGAGATGCCGAGCAGAGGGTTAAAGCCCAATGTTTTTACGTATAGTTCTCTATTGCATGCATGGGATATTTCATGTCGGAAGATGTTCTTGTGCAAACTGAAGCAGCTTTTTGATGAGTTACAAGCTGCTGGACTGAAACCAAATTTCTATACGTACTGTGACTGTGACTTATTGGATGGACTATGTGCGAACGGGCATGTTGAAGAGGCATTGTCGTCGTTGAATGAGTTGGAGCACAAGGGAGAACATCTTCTAATTATTTACTATAATGTCATCATGATGAATTCTGCAATGTTAAGAAACTCGATACTGGTAAGCTACAATATCCTGATAAACGAAACGGATGTTATGAAAAACGGGCTACTTGAGGCAGCGAAAGATATTCTTTTGAAGATGGAACAAGATAAATTGTACTGTTCAAGGAAATCTAAAGAGGGGCAAATACGATGATGCAGCTCGGATTCTTGAGGAAATGGTTTCTAAAGGATTCTCCCCGGATTCATCTACAGTTTGTTTGATGCTTCGTTTACTCGGTACAACCGGACACGAGCCTACGATTCTTTAAATGATTCAAAAGTTTGCTCTTACTAGTTTAAAACATAAACTATGAGCTAAAGAATCTTGTATGTGAATCATGTGTTAAGATAGTTTTAAATAATTAAAAAAAATTATAAATTTTTTTTTTGCGCATAATACTTATTTAAAATTTATCAATAATAATACAATGATTTAATTTTCCAGTATAGTATATTTCAATCAAATAATGATAATTCTATGAATAAATAGAAATCTACGATCGAAAAATAAAAATGTTAAGTGAAATACATTAGCTAAATTAATTGAGAGACAAGGCTTGAGATTTAGGGGTAAAAATGAAATTTCACACTTACGGCTCAATATAATGTAAAGAAAATGAAAAATCAAAATCAAAATAAAATCAAAATCTTAAAACCCCTACGAGGTCTCATAGCCGCGTTCCTACCACCACCACAACCGCCGCCGGAGCCGGCGACGCTAGACCTTCCGATTAAACATACAGGTGCGAATGGAGCTGGGAGCTAGTATCAAGGGTTTAAATCTCAATGCTACGACGCCGTATCTCACCCCGTTAAACCACATACAATCCCGAAATCTGTGCAGTAACCGCGCCTCCTCATACACCTCCTTCCGCGCTAATCGGCGTCCCGTATGGACAGCATCTGTTAAGGAGAATATTCGCGCAACGGAATCGGTATCCGAGGTATTTATACGGTGACCCCTCTTTGCCCCTACGGAAGGTTAATTTTGTTACCTGATTGAAATTAATCCTGTTTCTCAGGTGAAAATGGTGCCTGCTGCTGATAATTCATTGGATGTTGAGCTTTCAAGTTTGACAGCTTTGTGTCCATTGGATGGGCGTTATTGGGCCAAAGTGAAGGATTTAGCACCTTTTATGAGTGAATTTGGCCTTATTAAGTACCGAGTTCTAGTTGAGGTACTTCCAAATTGAATACATTTTTTGTTGTTGTTGTTGTTTATAAGTGCCTTTAATCCACCTTCTTCTTGTTACTGTTATCTGTTATACTAGATTTTTTTACGAAAAAACCGGAATGAAGGAAAAAGTGGTTATTTCTCTCTTAAACATGTGATGTATACTTGAAGCCATATTGCTAATTGTTGTAATGTGCTATGTATGTACTTACCTGCTTCAGTTTGTTGTGTTCGTTCAAATTGATTTTTGTTCAGCTTTCGCATGAATTTATGTATTTCCTTTTGTCAGATTAGGTGGTTGTTGAAGCTCTCTCAAATGTCCCAAGTGCCTGAGGTCCCGAGCTTCTCTGGAGAAGCTGAGTCGTATCTTGAAAATATAATCGATCAGTTTAACATAAATGATGCCTTGGAAGTGAAGAAGATTGAGAGAGTGACTAATCATGATGTGAAGGCTGTTGAATACTTTCTGAAACAAAGATGCCAATCGCATCCGGAAATATCTAAGGTGCATCATATGTGTATACATGTGCGCTTATCTTTGTTTGTTTGTCAGACTGTCTCGTTTTCACCTACTATTCATTTCGATGCAGGTGCTTGAGTTTTTCCATTTTGCATGCACATCTGAAGACATTAATAATTTGGCTCACGCATTGATGTTGAAAGAAGCTCTCGACAATGTTATTCTACCTGTCATGGACAAATTGATCGCAGCAATTTGCGACATGGCCACTGCTAATGCTTCTATTCCCATGCTTTCTCGAACTCATGGACAGGTAAATATCTTTGATCTCTTACTTAAAATTCCCTCTCTCTATCTCTCTCTCTCACACACACACAGAGGCAAACAATCTTGTATGTCATTTTCATGTACTTGTAATACGCTGATTTAGCTAGTACGAGTGGATTTTTTTTTGTTTGTTGTTGCCAAACTGATAAAACAGCTTAGCTTATCTTTCATAATTGCACCATAAGGTGTTGAATTATCAAAATTTATCGTGCACATTCCACTAAGCTTGTTGTGAAGAGTAGTTGACAGTTTTTTCACATTGTGGATTAAATATTGAAAGAAAAAAGTTCTAAATTTACTTGTATTTTAGCCAGCTTCACCCACAACACTAGGGAAGGAGATGGCTATCTTTGCTTACAGGTTAAGCAGAGAACGGAAGGAATTAGCTCAAGTTGAAATTTTGGGGAAGTTTGCTGGAGCTGTTGGAAACTACAACGCTCATCTAGTTGCATATCCTGAGGTTAATTGGCCTCAAATTGCTGAGGATTTTGTGACTTCTCTTGGTATAAGTTTCAATCCTTATGTGACTCAGGTATGTCACTTCAATTTTATTTTTATTGTATTTTATTTGAAGTGTTCTTTTGTATTAGACACAGCAAAAATAATACTCCTCGATCAAACTGCAACTTTCAGTTTTTACTAATTGGTCTTTCTGATACAGATTGAACCCCACGACTACATGGCAAGACTTTTCAATACTATCATTCAGTTCAACAACATTTTAGTCGACTTTGATAGAGATGTTTGGGGATACATTTCTCTGGGTCACTTCAAGCAGGTGAGAGCAGCCATATGTTAGTGGATGCGCTAATTAATATGCGTTGTTTTTTTCCTTTTTAATGTGAAAATGGTCTCGATTCATTCTCTAATATACGCAGACACTCAAGGCTGGTGAGATTGGGTCTTCGACAATGCCTCACAAAGTCAATCCTATTGACTTCGAAAATAGTGAAGGCAATTGTGGGATTGCAAATGGGGACTTGTCACATTTAAGCACAAAATTGCCTATTTCCCGCTGGCAGGTATACACGTTCTTTTTTAGGGGTAATTGGGTGTTCTATTTTATATATGTACGTATATATATTTTTGCAGGTGGTTTTCTCTCTCCTAGGGTTAATCTTTTATCCTGTGATTATTAATCCTAATAATCTTTGTTATGATTTGGTATCTCAGCGAGACTTGACTGATTCAACTGTTCTGAGGAACATGGGTGTAGGATTAGGACACTCTCTTCTCGCTTACAAAAGCGCGATACAGGGAATTTCTAAACTCCAGGTAAGAAATATATATTTGTATAATTATTATTGCAATTCATTTTATTTATTTGAATTCTGGTATGATTCGACCTATGCCTTTTTATTTTTCATATATAGGTCAACGAAGCTTCCTTGACTGCTGACTTGGACCAGTCATGGGAGGTGCTTGCCGAGCCAATACAAACTGTACGTAGTAGCTTCTATGTCCTATATGATATCATTTTATCTCAATGCTCGTTTTATTTTTGTGTTGATTATGAACGATCTCTACTTGCTGTGTAAATATTTAAAATTTGTAATAAATTCTATTGTTGACGACTATTTACTAATTTTATTATCGGTTTATAGGTAATGCGAAGATATGGTGTTCCAGAGCCGTATGAGAAACTGAAGGAGCTAACTAGAGGAAGAACAGTGACTAAGGAAAACATAAAGAAATTCATCGAAGGACTGGATATACCCATCGAAGCAAAGACGATTCTCTTGGATTTGACCCCGCATACTTATGTTGGGGCGGCAGTTGAATTGGCCAAGAACTTGGACACAGTTACGAACTTGGTGAATGGAGCTAAGGTCGTTTTGTGAGTTTGTGTGACCAACCTCATTTGGTAGATGAGATTTGACTTGTAGAATTCCAAAATTTTGACATTATTCGAGTTGTACCTCGTTTGAGCAATCTTGTTCGTCTTGCTTGCAACTGATACAATGTTGTCGTGTGTACCATTTGTATTATGATTAGCTTATTGACTTTTATCCATTTTTATTTTCAGAAAATTGCACGACAATTCTACTAGTTTATTCAATGTCAATCTGATCCAGAGACATTCTCCAATGCCAACACTGGGGAAAAAAATGTAGCGTAGAAATTACAAATTCCAGGTTGCTCTAAAAATACTAATTTTAATTCTTTCCAATTATTTAACGATAAAATTACAGCAAAAAAATAGTCATGAATAAATTAGAGAGTAATATCATATTATCAGGCGGTCTTCGCCACGGCAGGAAGTGTTTTCAGAAGTTGCAACGAAGGTCGTCTCAAAGTGTGGTTGAGAAGAATCATTAGGGTTAAAAGAGTCAGAGCTCCAGCCTGATGAGCAGAGCCTAATGATACCGGAACGTACGAAAGAAGAGTCGATATTCCCAATGTAACCTGCAATAGAAGAAGAATAGCTCAATAAATAGACCCAAAAAAAAAATTTAAAAATTAAATAAAGGAGAAGAAGAAGCAAAAGAATCAATGGTTGTAGTACCTGAAGAGCAGCCATGCCCACAGTGCTTCCTATTAAAGATCGTATTGCAGGATGTATATCAATTTTTCTCGTTAACCACCATAATCCACCGACAGAAAATAAGGTTGCAGTAGCAAGTATTCGATGGTCAAGCTGGTATCAAAAAAGAAGAAAAGGTCAGCAAACATAATATCGTAATAATATCTGAAGCATGTTCAGTTTGCATTTAGAGTAGAGTTGCGAATTAGAACTAATAACTTAATTAAGAATCTTCCGTTTTTCTACAAGAATTAAGTGCAAAAGGAATTAAAAATTTCATAATCAATGCATTGCCTGATTAACTAAGCCATGTATTTAAATTATTTTTTATTAGCTGTTTATTTCGTTGCAGCCTTGTGCAATTTGATTTTGACATCAAGTTCGAAAAAATGCTTTCTCCACTAAGTTCTGTTACATGAATTTCATTAACCACCATGTCAAATGCTGTCTTATCTGATTTTCTTATTATTCTTCATAATTTATATGCATTGCCTACCTCAAACTTTAAACATCGTATTATTATCCAACAAATTATTACCTGCACAGTTGCTGTATTTTCGAAGAAATTGCGCATTAGAGGCTTTAGGGCAAACACATCCTCCGGAATCCACACATCACCCATCTTCGGAAAAGTATTAAAGGCACGCCCCTGTAATTATCAAACGCAACCAATACATAATTATATGTAACAGACTCTCCCCTAAAAGCACACAAAATATAATAATAAATAAATAATTTAAAAAAAAAAAAAAAAAAAAAAAAAAAAAAAAAAAAGAGGAGGAAAAGTCCATTTCACTTACAGCATCATTTCCAGCAACAAATGCTCCAGATACAGCAGTAATCCCGACAAGAATACTAACAGGGAGCGCAATACGCTTCACTTTTGCTGCACCTTTTACCCATGCTACTGATTCAGTAGGTGGCTCAGGCATTACAACAGAAAGCGCAGTCCAAAAAAGACCAGAGTAGATAACAAATGCCGAAGTCAAATGAGCTGCAAGTCGGTAAGGACTTACCCTCGGTTCAATGTGCTCGGATACAGGTTCCTAAGAAGGGAATAAAAGTATTAACACTTCTAAAAAACTGTATCTAAGTTAAAGTAAAAAAAAAACGATATTTTTGCGTGCTAAGTTGTTACCTCTAAACCACTCTTGACCATCCACCAGCCAATTAGTCCTTGCCCAGCACCGAGTGCAAATAATCCGGACAGTTTAAGTCCCAATTGGACTGTAATATATTTTTTACGAAGGAAGTACGAGAAGGGTAGTGCAAACATTATACCCAATGCCCTTCCCCACATACGATGCGCATATTCCATCCAATATATGAACTTAAAATCATCAAGATTCATCCCTTTATTTACTCTGCGATGACCAATTAACCACAATTCAAGAAAATTACAAACAGGAATGTCCAGTAGCATTTCTTGAAACAGTATACTGATCGAGAAAAACAAAGTGAAGGTAGAGAATCGAGAAACTCGAATTTACCTTTGGTATTCGGGGGATTGCTTGTATTTTTCGAATTCGATAAGCCATTCATCGTCCGATAGAGGTGGAAGACCGCCGGTGAATTTCCAGTCAGTCATGGAAAGGCCTGATCTAGTTAGACGTGTGACACCACCAAGTACCACCATACTAAATACCCAAGCGGCAGAAACAAAAAGCCAAATACCGACTGCTTTCTGAGCTTTGGGTCCAGCTGTGACAAGAAGCTTCAGTGCTTCTGTGCTTTTCGGAGATACAGATGCCACGGTGGAGCAATTCCTCAATGATGGCTTGTAAAAGTTCTGAAAATAGGAAGGGAATTACATTTCATCATTTTACAGTTTTATCAGAAAAGGCGCAAACGAGCAAGTCTAAAAAATAAGTAGAAATACCATTTGAATTGACTATATGACTATGTATACAATTAGATGGAAAACAGAACTCGAGCCAAAAACCAAATTTATAGCATCACGGTAAGATGCATTCAGCCCTCTGCCAAATAAACAGGAAAATATGCTAATGATTCTTTAAATCCAAATAAGCAGTGAACTTGAATAAAATTATTCGTGTCGGTATTTTGCTATCTGGTTATTGAAACGTTTAACTAGAAATGGCTTTGATTGCTAGAATCAACACGAAAAATGGCAATATGGCAAATATAAGACCATTGCTGAGTTAGTAGTGTAGCATCTCACATTGAAGCCAAAGTTAACCCACGTAAACACAATTTCATCAGAAAACACTTACATTACACATCCAACATTTCAAATCGACTGATCGGAGACACAATACGATTACGCAGCAAAAACCAACAACACCATTTCCCTAAACCATATAGAATTATGCAGATAAACCCACAATCAACAAATTGAAAACCAACAAGTCGATTTCTTAAACTCACGGATCATGGCGGAAAACACCCCTTTTTCAGTAAACTTCTACTCATTTCTAACGTTCGTATCTAAAAAATCAAATTAAACAACATGAGCAATGAATTAAAGAAAGATGGAGAGCAACCTAAATCAAATACCTTACAGTTATTTTGAAGCACCGATCTTAAACCGTAGCCAATGAAGCTTCTGGAGACTGGGTTTTCGGAAGCAGGAATCAATCTCTGAAATGAGGAATAAAATCTTGATTGGGATTCGGTTGAGACTCCACAAGGAGTGGTAAATGTTTTCCATTCCCGCGAATTCGATGAGGGAAATTTCTGGGTTAGGGTTTTGGATTTCCTCAGAAGTAGAATCAATCGATTTTCAATCATGGTAGTTAATTTCTTTTTCTCCTTTTTCCTTTTCTTCTGTGTATTTTAGTCTCAGGCGATGGGGTTTTGAGGGGGTTTTGACTGAGATTTGAAGAAAACATGAAATTTTGAACCGGGTTGTACAAACCCGGTTTAACCCATATGTACTATCCTTTTCTTCATTTTGGGAAATTAAATTAGCAAAAGAACATATAGTAATTGTTAGGCTTAAACGTATAAGCTGTTAAAAATAGTTTATAAGTTATTTTAAAGTGTTTGGTAATTTTTTACAAAGATGTTAAAATTTCAAAAAAATTTAAAATACGATGTCAGAGTTTTTAAGATTCTTTAAAGATAGCACGTCTACTATATTTTTATTTATTTAAGATCTTATAATGAGTCAAAATAACTTGACTCGAACACTTAAAAAAATAATTGTAAAAATAAAACAATTATAGATCCACAACATGAAATAATTAAGTAGGAAATTAATTTATTAAAGACTATTATACTTTGAAGATATGTGGTCACAACTCACACCATGCATATATAGTGAAGATGTAGTTTGGACACGTGGCTGGATATGAGCGCCATTTAAGAAATTAATTTCTTGAAATGTCTTAAATTGTAGAGAATATTTTTTAATTTCTCATAGGATAAAAAAGTTGGTAATTAAGAGGGTGTTTGGCTAAGCTTATTTTAAACAGCTGATAAGCTCTTACATCTGATAAGATGTTTTTAGAGCTGATAAGCTGTTACATCTTATTTTTAGGATTAATTTTTAGAGTGTTTGGATAATGAACTTATTTCCTATTTTTACTCATTATAAGATCTTAAATAAAAAGGTGGGGTAGAGGTACATATTTAAAAAGATCTTATTTGGTCTCCAACGGCTTATTTAAAAAAAAATTAAGATCTATTTTTAAAAAATTACCAAACACTTTGGAAGAGCTTATAAGCTCTAAAACATCTTATAAGCTCCTTTTAACATCTTATAAGCTTAGCCAAACACCATCTAAGTTGATCGCCAATTACGAAATAAAAACAACAATTAGTAACTTTTAAACATATAATTTTGCGTTACCGCATATAAATTAATAATTGTAATAATAAAAAATGAAAATAAAAAGCCCAAAAAGAGAACCTCAAAGAAGGCCCATCCATTATATTTGTTCATGGCCCACCAATCCGAAAGTCACGGCCGAATAGAAATACTGTAGAAAATTTCTTTAGAATAAAATAAATAATTAATTAAACCAATAATTCAACTATTTTCTTTTAACGTAAATTTCACTTTCCCTCTCTTGTACTTTGGTTTTAGTATTACTTTATCTATTTTTATTCTTAATTCCATCGATTTGCCATCATCTATGCACTTAAAAAATTATTTTAATGTGACCTTCGTTGTTAGTTGTCTGACATTTGACCTTAACACCGTTTGATCTAAGGTCTGAAATTACAAAAACGTCACATCTCTCAATTTAAATAATTATTAAAAAACAAAAAAAAAAACTAATAAAATTCAAGACAATGAAAAAACATAGTTTATGACGCCAGCCATAATTTTTTTTTTTTATTTTTTTTAATAATTATTTAAACTGGGAGATATGGTTTTTTTTGTATTTTCAGACTAAGATCAAACAATATTAAGGTCAAAGGTCTGAAAACGAACAGCGATAACCATATTGAGACAATTTTCAAGTACATAGGAAAAATCGATGTAAACCGAGAGTAGAAGAGGATAAAGTGGAATCTATCATTTATTTATGGACACAATATTTAATATTTATTTATTATTTTTGTTATGATAAAATATTTCAGATTGGACCCACATAACGCAACTTAAGCCAAAATCAAAGCACCCACATTTCCTGCTTAATTCCAATTTTCAACACACTTTTAAGACACTACAAAAAACAGTTATTGCAGTAAACATTTGTTCACACCAAGCTGGTGTTTTTATTACTGCAATGGCGGAACCATCAATTTCAAACTTGTTCTTCTTGTTGTTGTTGGTTTTGTTCTGCTGCTTCTCCCACAGTGAACCCTCGCGATACGACCAAGAAGAGCTACAATGGCTAGACAACAAAGACGACGAAGTAAACATGCTCCAAACCAGACACTCGTCTCTCCGTAATTGCGATTTCACCAAGGGCAAATGGGTCTCCGACCAAACCTACCCTCTCTACTCCGCCGCCACCTGTCCCTACCTCAGCTCCGCCGTCTCCTGCCGCCGTAACGGCCGCCCCGATTCCCACTACGAGAACTTCAAATGGGTCCCCGATTCCTGCTCAATCCCCAGGTCTCATTCATTAAATTGGGCATAATATATTAAAATATCTGATTAATTAATTAAATTTAGTATAATTGCAGATTTGATGCATTGGATTTTCTGGGAAAGATGAGAAGAAAGAGAATCATGCTAGTTGGGGATTCAATAATGAGGAATCAATGGGAATCTCTTGTCTGTTTAGTTCAATCAGTTGTCCCCACTTCAAGAAAGACTGTTATCTACAATGGTCCAACAATGGCGTTTCTTGCTTTAGTCAGTTGTCTTTTTCTTTTTCCTTTTTAATACAAAATTTATTTATTTATTTTCACTTTTAATATAATTGAGTTGAATTTAATTTAATTTTAATTTTTGGCAGGATTTTGAGATGTCAATAGAGTTCTGTTGGGCTCCATTGTTGGTTGAGCTGAGGAGAGGGCAAGATGGGAAGAGAATATTGCACCTCGATTCCATCGAAGAGAACGCGAAGTACTGGCGTGGCGTCGATTCTCTCGTGTTCGATTCCGCTCATTGGTGGACTCATTCCGATAAATGGAGCTCGTAATTTATTTATTTAATTACAAGACTAATTTTTTTTATTAATCTTATGCATATGAATTAATTTGTTTGCATGGATGCATGCAGATGGGATTATGTGATGGAGGGAAGTAATATATACAGAAACATAAATCCAAGAATTGCTTATGAGAAAGGCCTCACAACATGGGCTAAATGGATTGACCTAAATCTTGATCCTAGAAGCACTAGGGTTTTTTTCAGAACCATGTCACCTAGCCATAACCGGTAATAATTTAATTTTTTTTTTTTCAATTTTTTTTCTATATATAATAAATCAATTTTTCTAACTAATTTATTAATTATGGTATATTTGTGCAGAGAAAATGGGTGGAAATGCTACAATCAGAGGGAGCCGTTGGAGTATTTTAGCCGGATACAGGTTCCAGAACAATCGGTGATTCTCCGGAAGGTTCTGAGAGGAATGGAGTTTCCGGTGTCCGTTGAGGACATAACGGTAATTTCAGCTTTGAGGAAAGACGGTCATCCTTCGGTGTATGGTAATATTGGAGCTAATAATAATTCTTCGGGCGAAAAGGAGAAGCAGTTAAAAGACCGTAACTCCGACTGTAGCCATTGGTGCTTGCCCGGTGTACCCGATACCTGGAATGAGATCTTGAATGCAATGCTTTGATATATATATATATATATATATATATATATATATATATATATATATATATATATATATATATATAGCAAGAAAGATGATATTTAATTTTTCAAGGTTTTTTTATTTAATTAATCAACAAGAACTTAATTTATAAGGTTGTTGTATTGATATTGGTATTGGTTTTTTTTTCATGTTTGTTGTGAGATTAATGGGTGATATAGGAAGTTGCAGATTGCCCATTTTACCCTTGTATTTATTTTTAAATTGTCAAAATTGGGGACTCCATATATAATTGGTCATTATACTTTATACAGCTCCACCAGCTTATTGGGTAAAATAATCATGTTGTCTGGACACACCATAATTATTATTAATAATGATAATATGTAATAATTAGAACAACCTTTTTTTTGAACTGCACTCTTTCATGATGAACACCACTTTCTTTTACACCAAATATATATTTAATTAAGTTCTGTAAGGGATGACTTCTTGATTGGAGCTGGATCGAGTTTGCTATACATAGTTAGGTTAGTGTAGTTTATGTCTCTTGTATGGGGTTGCAAGCTATTATATGCGAGTGTAAATTTACCCAATGCACCTATATCGTTGGTTGCGTTGCAGATTCTTTATTACTGATATATATATATATATATATATATATATATATATATTCTCTTACTTTAGTTAAAGAGTGGATTAGTTAAAGGGTGGGATTAGTTGTGTTAGTTGAAAAAATGAAATGATTGTTATTGACCAAGTGAGATTCACAAACTGATCGGTTAAAATTAATTGCATTGTCCTAATAATGTAACATTGTAGGTTATCTTATATTTGGCCGAGTTTCTGATTATACAATTATCTACTTCTATTGATTAAGGTTTGTGTAGTAATTTCAACTGCAACAAATTTTTATTAGGGTTGGAAATCGGATGAGTCAGATCGGAATAAACACACTTGTGGAAAAATTTTGATTTTTTTTATGCAAAAAATTAATTCCAATTTCGTTCTAACAAAAATAAAAATAAATAAAATCGAATTGAAATCTCATGTATATTCCAATTCTGATAAAGAAAAAACCGGAAACAATCGAAGTAGGATTTTCAGAATTCGAATGAAAATTTTTGTTCCAAAATCGAATTTTTTTGGATGGGAATAGTGGAAATCGGAAATTAAGTTCCGATTCCGCCCTAAATTTTTACACGTAATCTTTTTAAAAACTTCATCATCATTATTGATCTCATTTATTATTGGTCTGCCTCAACTGTTGTTCTATTAGATGCTACACCTCGTGAAAATATACTAGATAATTTTTCACCTTTCGATTTACACACAATCACACTAATATACATGTAAAATATGTGTGAATCTATACATACTTGTGTAACAAAACCCTCATGCGCAAGCTAGGAAGAAAATTTCTTCCTCAACTTAGACAACTCCTTAGCATTCAATCCGAAACCCTTCTCCAAAACCCCCTCCATAATACCCGACCCGAAAACCGCAGACGGAATTTTCACCAAACCGGGATTCTGGCTATTAAAACTCCCGATAATCGAAGCCCTCGAATTTCCAACGTTCATCTGAAAATGCAGCAAACCCCTAGGGAAAACCATGACATCGCCCTTCTCCAGCACTTTGGCGAAAACCCTATTTTTCGAATCGACAAATCCCGAATAAATCTTTCCCTCAACCACAAAAGCAACTTCGGTGGCTCGTGGATGATAGTGGGGCACATTCACTCCTCCGACTTCAAAGTCCGCGCGTACGAATGACACGCCTAGTGTGTTCAGACCGGGGAAAACGGCTGCGGTTACCGGAATTGAGGAGAATCCCGTTTTTTTGGAATCTCCGGCGGACTTTATGCCGGAGAAGACGAAATCTTCGACTGTGACGAGAGACGAGTTCTTGCAGGCGAGGAAAATGGGTGAAAGGTCGGGTCTCGGTACGCAGTAGTCTTGTAATGGATCTGAGTCAGAAGCTGAGGCTGAGTGTATTATTATTGAGAGCAGAATTATACGAAACCATGCCGATATTTTCTTCATCGATATGTTTCGTGTGTGTGTGTGTGTGTGTGTGTGAAGTTGATAATGTTATTGAACACCTAAGAAGATTTTGTCTCATTGAAATGATTCTCAACACACACACATACACACACACACACAGTGAGAGTGTACATGCAGAAGTTTGTTTATATATATATTTATTTGACCTAATCAAGAAAAAGGGTATAACAAATCTTTAGATATACTCCATATAAAGAAAAAAGGAAGATGATTATATTCAGCTTGCGCATGTTAAAGTAGTTTGATGCTTGGAAATAAAGACAAGAGAAGATAATCGAAGACAAGAAAGATGACCAACAAGGCAACAACCCCCACCGGTTCTGTTTTGTTTTGCAACCGCCTCCCTGAGTTAAAGTCTTAGTTACGAAAAAACCTTCATGTTTGAGAAATTACATCCAGCCCCCTGTAGTTTGTGGATTTCTTACATCCACCCCTACAAAAGAGTGTTATTGTAAGAAGTCTATAAATTGCATGGGATAAATGTAATTATGGAAAAATGAAGGAGTTTTTGTAAATAAACCTTACCTCAAACCGTGACCGCAATTTACTCTTCTGGAGTGATTGAGTGGCAGATTTTTTTATTGTGCATTCATTAATAATTATCTATTCTTTTATGTTCTGTTAAGCAAAATTGGACAAATAGTTGAAATAAGCTAGCTAGGTTAAGTAGTTAAAAACCGAGGGAGTTAGATGCTACACCTGATTATCTACACTTGATGGATTTCAACCGTAGATCTGATTAAACAATCGACCACTAAACACACACACACACTCACATGTGTGATTGATTGTGTGTAGATCGAAGGTCGAAATCCACACAATGTAAATAACCAGGTGTAGTATCTAATTATCCATGAAAACCTTCATAAGAGTTAACAAGCAATTGTTCATCACTGTGCTTTCCACAGTGTGTTTATGCTGATAGTTCATTTATTCTGAGTTTCTTAATTAAAAGTTTTACAAGTTTTTAACAAATTCATGCCCACACAATATTTAATTATTTATACAGACGAAAATTAGTTATACAACATGCAATTTAAATAGTTCTTCTAGTAACTGTCTTCATCATTTTCTGGCCTCCTCAGATAGTCACGCAGGCAATTCACCAGAACCTGCATCATCCAATTCTTCAGTCTCTCTTTCTCTCTCTCTCTCTCTCACACACACACACACACACACACAGAGCGAGAGAGAGAGAGAGAGAGAGAGAGAGAGAGAGAGAGAGAGAGATCATATTTACATAATTACATTTGATTACCTGAGAAAGGGAACTGTTTAAGGCTGACCCTCGGTAACTGACATGAAACTTGTCCTTAGCCACCAACCCCTATAGATATATATATATACACACATATAGATACAAGTTAAAGTGACAATTTGAGATAATTGATGTTAATAAGATAATTTGAGATAATTAATGTTAATTACTTCTGTATCGATCTCCGCTGATTCAACGTCTATATTAATATCCGCAATGATTTTCAGGATCTCTAAGAGCAGTCCTGGTCGATCTGCCGTCTCTATACGGAGCAAGCTGAAACATATATAAAGGTAAATAAATGAAAATGCAGTATAACTATATAGCATATTATTTGCCATCAAAATCCCCAGGGGTATCTGGGGGAAAAATTAGGGAATTTGAATCGAAAGAATCATAAATTACGCGTTTGATAATTTAAGAGTAATATTAAAAAAAGAAAAAAAAAAGAAAAATCAGTTGACGAGGGTGCTACCTTCTCCTTGGTCCATCTTCCTTAACATGTACGTGAGTTGCGATAACAGTATCAATCTGCATTGAGAGAAATATTTAAATACTATAGCCGTACAACAATTGTCAGAAAATAAATCACCAGCAAATTAAAATAACCTTTTTTTCTGGTGGTACTAATCCAAAGACTTCACCCATAGCAAGCTGCTCACTCGACTCCTAAATAATCACAAAGAGTTGTAATAAGATAAAGAGGCTCGTTATACTATGATCCTGAGAAGGAGAATATGTTTTTACAAGACGCAAACCTTAAAAAATACTACAAAGCTTAGTATAACTTGGCTTCAGTTAAATAAACATACCGGATGATATTTAAGCAGGTTGTTAATGATAGTCAAACGAATTCTTTCCAAGAGATCAGGGTCTTCAACTTTGCGCCCTGTCGTCCTGCGGAAAATATATGAAACCATTTAAGAAAGATGCTTCTGGAATTTATATATATATATATATATATATATATATATATATATATATATATATATATATATATATATATATATATATATATATATATATATATGAAAGGCATTGGACCATATCTTACAGTCTTGTAATAAAAAATTTAGTTTGTGTGACAGAGTTGTCAGTAGTAACAGTTCCCTTCAAAACATCCAAGCCCAAGTCTTTAAGAGACTTCATCTGTAGCAGCAGAGAAAAATATTCCTCGATAAATGGTCTGATTGTCGATCAGAAAATAAGAAGGCGTAGAATCGAAGTATGAACAAATTATATCATATGGACATCTTATACCCAAACAAGCGCAACAGATTACGAAAAAAAATACGAATAAATATATGAATTCACCAGAAGCAGCAAATAAAACATTGTTCAATAAGATATTCCATCGGATGGTACGACGTATCAATACAAAGCAGCAATATCTAAGATTCGATATTTACAAAAATCAATGCATAATATAGTCACTATTCATTATCATTAAAATATCATAAGGAAGACACGCATAAATATAAGGAAGGAAATTCTAACCGTGTCGAAAAGAGCACCTAGGCGATCTCCGAACGAGACTTGCACAATAGTTGCCTCGGGATGAGAATCTTGATCGATCAGCACAATAGGCATTGGAACATCATCGTTCTCCAGCTCAAACTTCTGTAATATAAACACATGTTATCAACGTTGTAAGATAATCGAATCTTGAACAGGTATGCGACTCTATACAAATGCAAGGAATGAAAGCTGGGCGAAAAATACGAACGAAGGTAGAAATACAGAAAAAAGAAAAAACACAACTTTTAGGCCAGATAAGAGTTGAAACTAGCACCGAGTAAACAATTCATTAAGTGATTAAGAGTCCACTCATTTAATTCAGAAGCACATAACATACGACGCTTTTATAAATGTACATAGTTAACGATTCGATCAGAATATAATAGTTATATTTACTCTTATGATAGAAGTGAAGTAACTAAACTTACACATACCTCTGATAGAACAATTGGTTTGGCCTCAAAATTACTTAATAAAACAAAACCAAATGTTCGTCACATTTAAAGCATGATTTAATAAATCTGGTGTTCATCCCAAAATCGAAGCTCGGCAAAGTTAAAGCTCTTATTTGGCTGGCACGGAGCTTTAGAATGTATCTCATTTTTTTTTTTTGACTAAATAATTTATCTCATTAATCTCGTAACAAATTCACTTGTCATATAATTTCAAAATTAAAAAATATCATATAAAAAAAAAAGGAAAATGGATAGGTAGATTCAACTCACAAGCGACACTGAGCCGACCGAGTCAACTCCATCAACAGAGGCACACACCATGAAATTCCTACAGAACAAATTCAACCGAGTCATCCATCAATTAACATCATAACCATCACAATCAACTTTCCCCCAAATCACAAACATCACTCACAACAATAAACGAAAGCAAACATCACAATCCAGATAAATATACATACGAACAAAATAAACTATTCTCAGCCGCTGCAAAAAAAAAAAAAAAATCGATTTTCCTCACAGATATGAAACTAAGATCGAGAAACACAGAAACGAAAAGGATCGAGCGAGCTAGCACCAAAAAGGAGAAAAAACCTCGAACTTACTTATTCTGGTAAAAATCGAGTCGCGGGGAGACTGAAAAGTCGAGAACGGGCTTCGGAGCGGGCCGAGAAAAACTGAAAAGAGAAGCCGACGATTCAGAAGCCTTTGATCGGAGGGTGGTGAAAGATAGCCCGGAGAAAGCAATCGCTGTTGCCATTTTTTTTTCTTCCCTGAGCAAATTACAATGTGTGTGTAGACTGTGGAGGAAGAAGAGTGCAAGGAATTATTGGGGAGGTGATGGAGATTAAATTAATGATTAATGATTATCAAATTTTAATTTTTGTTTAGATCTTAACGTTGACATAATTAGGTGAACTATTGCGTCATCTTGTAGGCCCCACTCGGGATGTAGATGCCACGTCAGGTAGGGACAATTCTTTTTCAATTATTATTTTTTGGTTTATTATATTATTGGGTAAATTCCACTTTCCCCCCTTGTACTCTGCCCAAGAACCACTTTACCCCCTCGTACTCTTAATTTCGTCGATTTACCCCCTTGTACTTGTACAATTTCCCAATACAACCCTCTTCGTCAACTTTTTTCGATTTTGACTTTGACGCCATTTGGTCAAGAGTCAAAATATTGACGTAAATATTGAATTTTTTCGATTTTGACGACTCTCGAGATTAGAAAAGAGAAAGTTTCACACATTCATATATTTTTTTCTTTGCACTAGGTGGAATCGATCAATTTTTTTATCTTGATTTTTACTAAGTTAGGGGTTCAATTTGGGGATATCTTGGAAAGGGAAGTGGTGGAGAAGAAGAAATGACAATATTGACAGAGGAGAAACGACGCGTTATAAGCAGTGGCAATTTTGTAATTTACAGAGTTGACCAAATGGCGTTAGAGTCAAAATTGACAAAAAATGAAGAAAATGGCTGTATTGAGAAATTGTACAAGTACAATGGGGTAAATCGATAAAATTGAGAGTACGAGGGGGTAAAGTGACTCTCAGGCAGAGTACGAGGGGTAAATTAGTACACTCGTTGATTTTTTTTTTTAATTACGGTAACCCCTGAGGTAATGTTAAATTACGAAAAAACATCGGCATGTTTGGGTAATTACAACCACCCATCTCAACTATGAATCTTCCTACACATCCACCCTTATGGTTTCAAATTTAACATAATTTTCTAGATTTCGTGGAATGTTCTCTAATTTATACTCGTTTTGTGCAGAAATGCAGTTTTTGATGCAACACGATCTGATATTTACAAGTCAATAGGCTCATTTTATGATCATCTTGTTTCAACATGTGGAGCTCGAATCGGTACAAACTGAAGAATATTTCGCATAATCAAGAAAATTCTACTAAATTTGACACCGTATGATCGTAAGAATGAAAGTGTAAGAAGATTCAAAGTTGAGGGCTGGCTGTAATTATTCAAACATAAATGGATTTTTCTTAATTTGACCTTCCCTCAAAAAGATTACCGTGATTTACCCTATGATGTTGTAGTATTTTAATCTTTAATTTATACATAATTATACACATAATCATGGATGTGCAGACGTGTATCTATACATTTATATAGTAGAGTATTAAAATATAATTCGATAAAGTTCATCGGTAACACATAAAATGATCAATAAGAGTTAAAAGGGTAGTATGGGGTTGTCTAGGGTCCGAGAGGGTTGTACTTCTCGGACCGTAAAATATTTAATCCAGTGCGTTCAAAATAATTAAATTTTAATCTCGTCCATTGATTTTATGTACGACCCTAGTACGACCTAGTACGATACATGAAATTTAAAAATAAAAGTACGAGCCTAATAAAAACACATCGTACACATTCGTACACACATTGTACTATTCATAAATTACTTAATTAACCTTATAAACTCAAATCTATAAATTAAAATCTTTCATTAAAAAATTGCACAGTAATCAAAATCAATTAACACAATTACACGCCAAATAAAATCAAAACCTCCAAATGTTCTTCCCCAAAATCAAAATATATGCCGATCGAGATTAAGAAGAGAAGCCCTAGTTTTTCAGCGCTACTTTAACGAAGAGAACCAAGAAAGTTGAAATCGTTGGGAAATATGGCAAGTGTTCATCGTCTCGTCGCCTCTCTCAATCTTCTCCGATGGCCAATAAACTGGTTTGGATGGGTGGAGGATATATGAACTTCTATGGTTATTCAATGTGCCTCAGGATTCATAAGCTATTAAGGAGAGATATACATTTATATTTCGTTCGTTTTTATTGTGAATTACAGTTGGTCTCTTCAAATCAATACCAGAGAAATCGAAGACTGCCACTTAAAAGGTATCACTGAAATTCTTGTTAAATATTTATTTCTTTTGTTTTTTCCGCATTATCTTGCTCTGTCTAATATTCCAGGTGACGAGTTTTCTGTTTTTTGGATTTTTTTTAAATGATAGAGCTGCAAAATTCGTTGTCGTGTTAATATCTAGTTTCTTCGTGAAATTCTATTAGATACAGTGAATTAATTGAACTCTAAAAGGGTAAATATTAATTAAAAAATGATTCACAACTCTAAATAGGTGGGTTTTTTTTTTTTCTTTTCGTGTTGATAAAAAAATGAGTTTGTTTCACAGTTTTAGGCTTCTGATTATTTATGCTCGATAAGTTGTGAATTCCGTGAATGATTTAGTGGGTGCTCTGATCAGAAAATAGTGAAATTGGTGGATTGAACGACTTTTATGAGTGCTAGTAACAACAAAATTCAGGCTTTTCCTCTCGATGTTAAAGTTCACATATTCCAGTTGAACAGTGAAATTCTACTAAAGAGTGTATGCTCCTTGACAGATTATTATATGAAACCTTTCAGGACGTCTATTTGATATCAGACTTTAGTTGTAGAATCCATGAATGATGTTTTAGGGGGCAATAAGATTTATCTCTAATTCTATAGCACATTTTGCTAATATATCCTTTTGTATTTCAAGAGTGCAGGATTCAGATTGAAGAATCACAGTGATATTACATAGTGTGGGGTCTGGTTTAGAACAGAGCAAAATAAGTAGTTCTTTCATTCATTGATGAAGCTTATTCTTATTATTAAAACTTTTGAATAGGAAATCGTAACATAAGGTGATAATGTAGCAGCAAACACGTTCTCGATGACAATCATCAAAGGAGAAAGGTATGGCTGCTTTCACCTTTTCACGAACGAAGCCAAATTACTTGTAAATTGATTCAAAACGAGAGCTAACGATTTGAATTTAATTCATTTCAAAGTGAATTCCATCCAAACAAGTTGAATGTGTTTGTTATTGTGATCTCGTAATAATTAACTTCAAATCTTTTCTTATCAAAATGAAATTCATATGTAATCTTTGCATCAATTATGTTATTTTCTATTATCAATTGTACATGCACTTGATGTCTTCGACTGAGCTACGAGATTATGTGTTGCAGATTTGAATATATAATCTTTGCATCGGTTTGCTTGGCCGAGATAAGAAGTGTTGTGCACGGTGACGAACTGATGATGTAGTGCTCATATCCTTGGAGGACAACTATTCTTGAGTTATGAGCTCTGCTATAGCTTGTAATTTTGGAACCAGAAATTTAAGAATTTTCATGCATTTCTTTTGGATACTGTACTCCCTTGTAGTGGAAGTTTTGGATTCATATCTATATTATTTCATTGATTCGTCGAAAACAGTTAATTATAATATAATAGATCTTTTCTGGTTTTGGCTCTTTTTTGTAATGATTGTAACGACCATTTGTTGCTATTCAGAGGCTACTGTTCTGATGGCAACATGGTATTTTTGTTCTTGTGCATGATGTGTATCTCTCATATTTTTCTAAAAATATGCAGTTTTTTGTTTGTACCATGAACTTCTTTGGTTAAATTAATTTTAAAAGTATTATTGGGTGATGGAGAAATAAAAAACACTATAACCTGTTGAGACCAGACTACAACACATCCCCCGGATGGAGAGATGGCCGATGGGGGGTGTTGCTGGAACACACCAGCAACTTTTTATGTATATAAATTGTTTACAGTTTAAATTAAGCTCACACTTCAGATGCGCACTAGCCGACTAATCTTAAACCTTAGAGAAATTGGTCCTATCTCGGAGTTGTAGAAACAAATTGACGATAAATGAAAATTTGATGAGTTTGTTTAACTTATTTGTATTATTATGCATCTCTACAATTTACCAGCAACAAGTTATTTGATTATTAATGACCAATAAAGTGTTTTAGGTTTGATTAACCTATATGCCTGCAATAATTTGATTAATATTTTTTGTTGATGATACCTCTTGCTTGGCAGATAATTCGGAACAATGTGATTCAAATGTGAAATTTCAACCAAAATGAAAGCTGGATTTTAGTGGTAGTAGCATATGATATTTTTGTCCACAATTTACTTGGATAAGAACCATATTTGCCTTTCACTCCGAACTTCAGAATAATCAAAACTATGCAGAGCATTAAGAAAGTAAGAAAGTAAAACAAAACTATTAACAAAGCCATAGCATGAAAAAATGTTTTTGCACGTGAAAGAAACATTCAACCTACATATCAATAGCAGCAAAATGTTTTCATTTGTTATTATTATTGTCACATTATTCTAATACTCATAATCATCAACTGGAGCTTTCTCTGCAATATCTTTAGGTGAATGTGTCTTGGTGAACCATTAACTTATACCAAGCGAAAAATTGAGTAAATTTTTTGTGGCATATTAAAGAATTCATTTAACAGGAAATATACACAGCTGTTCCAATCTAACATAGATTTGAATATTGTTTTTTCTGCTTGGATCAGTGTAACTAAGGAAGCAACAGAAATTCCTGTGTCAATAAGAAAATAAGTATTTTTTTTCCTTTTTTCACAGAACCTTCACAATAATGGAATAAAAAAGATTATATGAATCGAGAGAAGAAAACCCAAAAATCTGGAAAAGGGAAGGCTTGATAGAGAAAGCGACGTGATTTAAAAAAACAATTTAAACGAGAAGAATGTGTGGACAAGTTTCAACCGCATCATGAATTAGATAAACAAACAAAAAATTAAAACCCTACTCCTTAAAAGATCGATGATTTTGTTTTCTTGAGAGGAATGATGAAGACGATGAACAGAGCAAAAACGATTATTGAAGAATAAGATTTTAATATAAATTTAAATTTGTTTATTCGTAGTTAACTTTTAAATTATTAATTATATAATTAAATTTCTAGGTTTAATTAAAAGGGGTTTTATGTAATTTTACGTGTAATCTAGGGGTTGTACTTTTTTTTACTGGGTACGTACTAATCCTACGTGGCACATTCTCATTGGTAGATTACGGTCCGAGAAGTACGATCCTCTCGGACCCTAGACAACCCCTTGTAGTATAGTTTCCATTATAAAGATAATCAAATATGTAATTATCAAGGACAAGGACTTTTATTTGTGGGATAATTAGCTAAAAGTTATTTGCATGTCTAATTTCATTAACAAAAATGATGGTGAATCTTTTCGCTTCGATCAATTTCGCTCGCTAGTTCGTTTTAAATAAAACCGCGTTTATTTTTATTAGTTAAAAGTCATCCGTAATATAGTGAATTTATAAATTGTGTGGCGTTGTTTCTCGACTATGAGTTCATAACTTTAGTATCGTATTTAACTTAAATAATATAATTTCATGAATTTTCTTTTACATTGTTTGGTAAAGTTGGAAAACACACACACTTAAAAGATCCAATTAAATAAACTATGAATTTATTATATTATTTCATAAATTTTATCTTATATATAAATAAACTAATAATTTGCATTGGATCTATATAATTTACAAATTTTGTGTTATTTTGTAATTTTTGGAAATTATCAATCTAGCACCCTATCATCAAATATGGATCGGGCAAATAAAATTATTAATCAATTGAATATTAAATTGTGAAAATTGAAAAATTCTATTACCACGGGCCATCAAATAATTAAAATATTTTTTTTTGAAAATAAATATAATCACAATTAGGATTTTCTTTTCCTTTTATTTTCAACACCCTATATAAAAGAAATTGAAAAGAAAAAAAAAAAAAAAAAAAAAGTTACCCTAAATTCGAGGGGAAATTGTACCCACGTTCTTCCAATTTCGTACACCGAAGCTCTGCAATGATGTCCGACTCCAAAAATATCAAGCGAGTAAAAAACGCGGAATTAAAGAAGACAACCAAAATTCATCCCAGCAGGCGAATTTAATTCCGTTGTGGTTTTCTCTCTCTGTACGTGCTTTTACTTTCTCTCTCTAGACCTCCCTTTTTTTTTTCTTCTTTTTTCACCTTCCCTCTTTCCGGTCCCACTTGATCGACGAATGCAGGTGAGCTTGTGGGTTCCTTTGATAGCTCGCGTGATTGAATTGTGTCAGCAGTTGTGTAATTTGTTGGGTTTTTGTAGAAAAAAATAGGGATTTACGGATAAACCCTAATTTTGGACTTTGCTCAATTTGGGGTTTTGACTGTTTGGATGAACTGTTCGGGAGTGTTCTAATATGTGTGTTTGTGTTGCTTTTTTCTCTTCAATCCGAATTTTGTTTGCCCAATTTGGCGAATTCTGCGTCAATTTGATTTCCTATTTTTTTAAAAGTGGAATTTGAAGGTATTAGTGTTTAACGATTAGCAATGTTTTTAATGCTATGTTTTTGTGATTACATTTAAATTTAAAATTGTCTTAAACCATTAAAGAAGAGTCCCCACCCAAAGAGTGTGGTTCAGTAGGGTGGATTGTGAAATTATGGATTTCTTTTCTTCTGGGTGTGTCTCGGTTGTTTCTAAATAAAGGTGTTACTTTTCACCGTGATGATTTAGAAGTTGTACTGTTCTAGGAATATAGCTAGTGTGTACAAGCTTGTTTTTTTATTTGAGCTCTGGCAGTTGTAAAGTATTGTGATCGTTAGTTTCCTTATTTACATCCACATGAAAGGTGTTAGTTACTCTGTTAATATTATACCTGATGACTCGTTTTTTATTAGGTTTCCCGCTTGTAGATGCTAAGGTCGCTGAATATATTTTGAAGAAAAGGGACTCTACAGATATGAGACTTTGATTACAATAATGGATGGAAACACAAGATTTGAGCTGATGTCAGCCAGTCCCGATTCAAATTTCGTAGGGAACTACCAAAATGGGCAGAGGGGGTACTCTGCCCCCACTTTGGGCAGATCTTCAAGTTTCCGTGAGGGTTCAGAAAGTAGAAATATGGGTTCCGGTAAGTTAAATTCTCGGGGTAGTGCTACCTCTTCGGGAGATATGCCTGCATTATCTCAATGCCTGACTTTGGAGCAATTTCCTACGGGTGACCTAAAAAATGCACGGGCCGTTGACTTAAAGAGGGTTCTGGGTTTTTCTGTTGGGAGCAATTCAGAAGAAAACTCCTTTGGCATCGGTCATCTGAAGAGTTCACCTCCAGCAGCTGTTGAGGAACTAAAACGATTGAGAGCAAATGTTGCTGATACATGCATTAAAGCCAGGTAACTTTTACCTTCTGGCATAGTTGTTCTCTTCGGAAATGCATTATTAAAGAAACTGTAGTTCTATTATATGTTTCGAGTTTGTCGTTATATAGCAATTTCTTGAAATGTGAGCTAAATAATCAAAATTGATATTAAGAGATTTATCTTGAAACTCTCTCACCTTTATGATATTGTTTGATTTCGTTCCTTTTATCATTGCTACATGCTGAAACATCACTTGGTTTCTTTTTTTTAACTAGCGGTAGAGCGAAGAAGTTGGATGAGCATTTAAATAAGTTGAACAGATTGTTTGAGGTCATTCCCTCTAAGAAGCAGCAGCAGCGGAATGAGATCATGACAAATGAAAGATCTAGTGGTTCAAACTTGAAGACTGGATCGCAGATACACCGAAACTCTTCAGATCTAGGAAATCAGAAATTTGACGATCGACCTAAGAATGTTGTTCTTAATAAGCGTTTACGTACATCAATGGCAGAAACTCGGGTTTGTAAAAATAGAACTCATTTATTACATTTACTGGCTTTGTTACCTTTAAGATCTTATTTCCTATTCAATGTAAAGAAGATTAACTGAAAATATTTTTCCGTCTGACATCTTTTCTTAGTCAACAGGAGTCAGAAAGCAATAGAAAATCTGCTTTCCCTATCATTCGTTCTCTTTTTATAAAATATATAAATGTGCCTAATTAAGGGAAAGCTTTTAACTTATGCTTCAACTATCTTGATTTCGACAATCATTTTCATTTTAGAAATCTAATAGACATTTTATAATTCAATGCATGCAATAAACTAATCTCAATTGGATTTTCTTGTGCTTTAGATTTGTAGTGTTTTGTTTCTTCACTTTCATAAATAAGCCTACTGTTTTACAATGACTTCTGTCCTAAACATTATTAATTCTTTATTCTTTCCCACTTTCAGACCGAATGCAGAAATATTGGAGTTCCCCGACAGCCTCTGATGGGTACAAAAGAAAGAGACATGCTTAAAGATATTAACGCAGATTCTGATATGGTTGAGGAAGAAATACGGAGGTTACCTGCTGGTGGAGAAGGCTGGGACAAGAAAATGAAAAGGAAACGCTCTGTCGGTCCTGTTTTTCCAAGATCTGTTGATAATGATGGGGATCTTAAAAGAAATATGCATCATAAGCTTACAATTGAATCGAGTTTGCATTCCATTGATTCCGCCCATGGTTTTAGGTAAGTTCACTGCACAAACCAAACTTATTTACTTGATTTAACCATGCTGCGAGTTATTTTTTTCCTTTGATAATGCATGATGCCGTTTTTGTATTGTAATCACTCAGATAGTTATAGCTTGCAATTTATTTTCTGGGATGGTAGAAATTGTTTCAAACATAGTTTTGTTTAAGTTGACTAACCATTAACCAAGCTTAAAACAGCTTTAAGTAGTAGATTCTGTGTTGAATTTCAAGTATTTTGGTTACTTGTAAGTCCTAAATTTTGTGCATGCTTTCCCGTAACTTCCTGAGAAGAATCTACCATAGAGGCTCTTTACATTCTTTGCGTAGAAAACTTTTAATTCACAGAATAGATATTTGATGGCGATACTACTGAAAATGATTGCTTGTGTTGGATGGATTGTTTGCTTTTAAAATAAAAATAAAAATTGGCCTTACAACACAGACGTAGTCACACCACTGGGTTCGAACCCAAGACCTCCCACTACAAGATGGGAGTGGAAACATTTAACCACAAGGTTGATGGTTGGATTGATTGTTTGGTTTGGTATAACAATGTTTTCACTCTTGAAAACTTATTTTGACAGGTCAGGAGCTTCTGGTGGCGCTAACAAATTAGATCCTATTCCATCTCCTGCTGGTTCAACTGCTCGCATGACCTTCAAAAATGAACAAGAAAAATCTATGCATTCAAGAGATCTTTCTGCAGGACCAGTTAAAGAGCGACCATTAGGAAAAGTAAATGTTAAGTACGTATCTTAACATACCTGTGTCGCCACAACCTGTTTTACCTTGCCCTTTCTTCTGTTATTTTATTATATCTTTACTAAAACTGGAATTTTGCTGAGTGATATTTCTGATTGATCCCTTTTTTAGGTTGAATAGTCGTGAGGATAACCTTGCCACGTGTTCAAATCCCATAGTAAAAGTGAAGCCCTCGCGGGCACCTCGAAGTGGCTCAACAGCTGCAGCTAATTCAGCTGCTAATGCTGCTCGCTTGTCTGGAACTTTGGAGAGCTGGGAACAGCCCCAACCTGTAAATAAAACAACCCCTTCAATTGGTGTTGGTGGTGCTAACAACCGTAAACGTGCCCTGCCTGCAGGATCATCCTCTCCGCCAATAACTCAATGGGTTGGTCAAAGGCCACAAAAGATCTCACGGACTAGGAGGACAAATCTTATTCCTGTATCGAACCATGATGAAGTCCAGATTCAATCTGAAGGAAGTTCCCCTTCGGATTTTGGTCCTCGGGTAAACATTGGTGGAATCAATGCTTCTCTTCTGTCTAAGAGTGCAGCTAATGGAAACCCAAATTTTAAAGTAAAACCTGAAAATTATCCATCTCCTGCAAGATTGTCTGAAAGTGAAGAATCTGGTGCCGGTGAAAACAGAATAAATGATAAAGGTTTGGGGAGCAGAGATCTTGAAGAAAAGTTTGTAAATGCTGGTCAGAGTGCTGGGCCATCTGTAATTCCTAGAAAAAAGAATAAAATTATGGTCAAAGAAGACATCGGTGATGGTGTGAGAAGACAAGGTCGCAGTGGAAGGGTATCGCCGTTTTCTAGGGGTAGTATTTCACCGACAAGAGAGAAATTGGATAATGTGGTGCCGACCAAGCCTCTTCAAAATGTAAGGTCTGGATCGGACAAGAGTGGAAGGTAGCTATGAAACTGAATTCTATATATGTGATTCTAAATGTTCTAGTTTTTCTCCGGTACTCATCAGGTCTTTTGTTATACTGTTACAGCAAGTCCGGTCGCCCTTCAAAGAAGCTATCAGACCGTAAAGGCGTTTCCCGTCTAGGCCACTTGGCGAATGGGGGTTCTCCTGATTGTAGTGGTACTCCTCTATATAATCTTAAAATTACAGTTTTTTGACTTAGATTCTCTCTCTCTCTCTCTCTCTCTCTATTTTTTTTCCTTATCCTGCATGCTATTAGTACCATTGCAAGATTACAGCAAAGTGGTCTTTGATCAATTCACTTTCAATTGGTAGTATGAGCGCTTGGTCCTCTGTAAGTTATTGTACTAGACCATTGATCTGCCACTAATTGCTTTCGCTTTAACCTTCTTTTCAAGAACTCTGAATTGGTCGCCCGTGGTATGCTGATTTTGTTGGAGTTATTGAAGCATAAAGTTCTTCTACTTTCTGTTTCCTTACTTTTCTTTTCGTAGTTACAAGTTAAGATTAATTAATATAATTGGTGGACTCTTTATTACTTGATTGATCTTTGTACTGTTTCACCATGTTGGAAAGTAACCAGTTCTACTTTGTCACATTCATCCTTTATTTTTCCTTTCTTTTTCAAGTTAATGAGGCAACTTTTTTTTTTTGAGAAATTTAAATCCTATTACAAATTGGGGAAGTAGGGAAGTGGCAGGATTCAAGCCCTAGACCTCCACTCTAATAGTAGAGGCTATGTACCAACTCTCCTAATGAGGGTTGGTGTCACATTCATCTTGAAATGACTACCTTAGGAGACTAAAGAAGCGAAAAGAAACTCAAAGCCGATTTCAGTTTCTCGTATTATGTAATAGTTAAACACATTGATGGATTGTAACTTTTCAGGGGAATCGGATGATGACCGTGAAGAGCTCTTGACAGCTGCTAATCTTGCTTGCAGTTCCAGCTGTAAGCATTCGAAATCCGTTTTTTAGTTGCTTTTCTCAAATATGTTTATGCCCATTATCATCCATCGTCTTCACGGTCTGCCGTTAATTCATGTTCGAGCACAATTGATTGTTTTTCTCGAATGTGATATGCCCATTGTTGACCTTCATCCTTACATGCCGCAGTTAGTTCATGTTCGAGCGCACTCTGGAAGACAGTTGAGGATTTGTTTACTTCTGTTGGCCCAGATGACAAGTTATACTTGTCAGAACAGGTAATAATTTTCAATGATTAGTTACATTATCCAATTTATTGTTGAGTTGATTCTTAAAAACATCCTTTTTCTTCTGAATCAGCTGAAATTGTCTGAAGAAAGATCTGCAAGTTTGTCTCAGAACTGTAACAAGGGCAATCTTATCCAAGAGAAAATGGTGTGTAGTTTTACAATCTCGCTTTTCATGTTTCACATGGACAACTTGTCCGACACTAATTTTGAGCCAAGCCTTCACTATGTGGCTGAGTTAAATATTTGCTGGAACAAGTTATTTTGCATTAAATGCCTATTAATCTACTACAACTGACATTCAAATAATTCTTATGTATTATCAGGATGATTATGGCCATGAGGAAATAGCAGCTCCTGAACCTATCTCTTGCCTGAAGGATTCGTTAAATAGAATGGATTTCGCCGAGCAATTTCAGAGTTGCTCGGATGCCGAAAAAAGATTTGAAATAATAACTCCACTTTATCAAAGGGTACTATCAGCTCTCATTGTGGAAGATGAAATTGAAGAATACGAAGACACCGAATATGAGAGACCAAAGAGTTCACTTAATGATTCATGCTTCCCTTATGGTACTGAAAATAAATTTATGGACAGACTGGACTATTGTGAGCCCATATTTGGTGTTCAAACTCGAAAAAATGGCAATGCACATAAAGTTTTCCCTTGTTATGGAAATAAAGACACCGAAAGGAGCACTGGCGCCCAGGATCGTATTTGTAACGGTGAGCTGCTGCAAATAGATGGTGGATATGGGCATCCAGATGTTGACATGTTGGTTAGACTTTCAAGATATGATAATGGTCCACAAAGTCTGCAGGCAAATAATAGTGGCATTCAATATGAGCAGATGTGTCTTGAAGAAAAGCTTGTAGCAGAATTGCAGAGTGTTGGCCTGTTCTTGGAAGCCGTGGTAAGTTTCAGATTATGGATGGTGGGATTTAAGGGAATTTTTTTTTGTCATAAGTTCCAATTGTCATATTCCTGATTTTATGTAACTGAATAAATTACTTGTGTTCTTGGTGATTTTCCCGATGTTGTAAAGCAGCAGAACTATGATATGTTCAGTTATCTTTTTTCTTTCATTCAAAATTTTCATTCCTGTGTTTCTTATTTATTTCCTCAGCCTGCACTGGACGATAAAGAAGATGACTCGGTTGACCAGGAAATTATTCGGCTAAAGAGGCGATTTTTCGAGAAGGTATCCCATTATTAATCTTTTTTTTGGTATATGCTTCAGGTTTTTTTTTTTATTACTAGCCATAAATCACTCTTATAACCGTTCTCCAATAACATATATTGGCTGATAATTATCAGTGCAGTTAATTCATTGTCTTTTATTCTCTAACCTTCAGAATGGGAAAAACAAGACATCCCTGCATACATTATACAAGGCTGTTGAAGAAGGAAACAATATCAGAAGGTATTTGGATTTTTCGCATTACCATTCAAATTTTGTGCGACAATTATTAGTATCATGTTGTGATAGATGCAATACATTCTATTGCTCCTCAGGGATCCTGAACGGGTTGCGATGGACAAACTTGTTGAGCTGGCATACAAGAAACTTTTGGTTAGTATTCTCATTCTTATACATCACTTTAGAACCCGTGAACATTATATATTCTTGTGAATAAGTTGCCTCGAAGAAAATCAATCTTTGTTTCCTGTACTGTTAGTGGTGCTGCACTGATTTTTATTATTTTATTTTTAATTTCGAAGCTACCTTCAGAGTCGATAGTGAAATGTTTATTTGAAATGATTGACAGGCAACTAAGGGAAGCTTCGCTTCGAAGCACGGGATTTCTAAGGTGTCGAAACAAACTGCTTTGTCTTTTGGCAAGAGGACACTTTCGAGATGGCGAAAATTTCAAGATTCAGGAGCAAGTCGTTTTTCAGAGCCTCCACTGCGCGAGATTGTTTATTCAGCACCTCCTCGTTTTGCCGAAACGGAGTTGCTTTCTTCTGCAAACCTGCCAATCGCCAACAGTAAGCAATCAAATCTTGAAAATGCAGAAATAAACTTGACAATGTTTATACCAGCCTAGTGGCAACAATTAATTATGAGTTTTAATTGCTCTTCATAACATATTCTGGTTCGTGCAGATGGGGCTTTAAATCGCCAATATGATCAGGCTAAAAACGGGACTATAGTAACAAACAGAGGAAAGAAAAAGGAAGTACTGCTCGATGAAGTTGGTGGTGGCGGTGCTGTATTTAGAGCCTCGTCCGCTCTAGGCATTATGGGCGGTGGCGGTGCAAAGGGGAAGAGAAGTGAACGAGACAGCAAAAATGCTATATCCAAGACCGGAAAACTGGCTGTAGGTGGTGGGTCCAAGGGAGAGCGTAAAACGAAAACGAAGCCGAAACAGAGAACAGCCCAGCTTTCCACTTCAGGAAATAATGCCTTTGTCAACAAATTCGTAGATACACCAAATTCCATGCTGTATCCCTCTGCTAGTGGCTCTGGTGAATCGGGAAATAATAGTGGCGATAGGAGAAAAGATGTTAGATTTATGTCTTCTTCCAATAATGCCCCTTCAGTTTCATCTTCGAAAGATGTAATGATTAAAGAACCTATTGATTTTGGTAAGCTGCCACTTAATGACTTGGATGGTATAGAAGAACTCGGTGTGGATTCTGAAATCGGTGCGCCGCAAGATTTGAATACCTGGTTCAATTTTGATGTTGACGGTTTGCAAGAAGATGACTGCATTGGTCTTGAGATACCTAACGATGACCTCATGGATTTAAATATGTTTTGATTCGCTGAGTCGCGCCCGTTGTTGTACTGTACAGCTCGTGGAATCGAATGCTGCTCCGACTGGTTGGAGAATGAGAGTTTTTTTTCTTTCTTTTTTTAATTTTATTTTTTTTGTATTTGTTTTTTCGATCAGTTAAGTCTTGGCCTAATGGCGGGTGTAATTATGCAATTTTTTTGTTTTCTTTTATATTTCATAATCTTTGGGAAGTTGTTAAGCTATTCCTCATAGTTCATTCATTCTACACAATGTTTCTAGTGCTCAAAAGTATTCAATATATCCTGTTTTATATATATATATATATATATATATATATATATATATATATATATATATATATATATATATATATATATATATATATATATATATATATATATATATCAGACTTCATAAGTGCTAAGATGAGCCAGATTCATGCTGGAAGCTAATTTTAACAACGGAGGTACTCAAAACTCATCAAAGGATAACAAGAAGATGAAAAGCCTAATGAAATCAATGCAGACTCGTTTCAGCCTGTGCACGAAAACCGAGCCCCGTAAACCCATCAGCCAAACCACTTGACTGTGTTATCGAAAAATCTCTATATATTCTCGATATTTTGATAAAATTCCAGCCCTCGTATTTGTAAAGTTGTTTTTCTTTTCACAACTGTGAAAGCAAGAGAGAACTAATAAAATTCACATGATATCATAAAAAAAAGTACTAGCTTTTAATCTCGGTTTGTACAAAGCTTCCGTAAACATCCACAATGGGAAAAGTTCGATCCAACCGCCTCAAAGATTGATTCGAAATAACACCTTTCTCGCAGAGAGTATTTGCAAGCTCCATCGCCTCAACTCTCCACCCCGCAAATCCAATACCTTCGACCAACAAAACGTACGAAGTCTCGTTCGGCTGACAACCCTTCTCCACCATTTCCTCTAGCATCAAAACAGCATCACCGATTCTATGTGCTTTACACAATCCAAGAAGTACTATATTGTAAGTAACAACCGTCGGTAAAAATCCAATCTTTCTCATATCTCCCAACAACTCGATAGCACCGTCCACCATCCCTTCTCTACAAAGACACGATATAAGCGAATTGTACGTAATCCCGTCGGGACTTATTCCCTTCGTAAACATATCCGATAGAAGTCTATACGCTCGAATTCTATCTCCGTTGTTCCACAAAGCACTCACCATTGTGTTGTAGGTGCTCACATCGGGCGGGCACCCACTCTCGTCAAGCTTACTAAAAACCTCCATAGCCTCTTCGGATTTCCCGTTTTTGCACAATGCCGATAAGATAGTGTTGTAGTTCACAATATCCGGAAAACAACCGCTCGAAATCATGTAATCAAGAAACGCTATCGCCAAATCCAATCTCCCTTCTCTGCACAACGCAGATATCAACGGATCGAACGTGTAGGTATCGGGCGTCAGTCCTTCGTCAATCATGATCTTCAACAAGTTAATTGCTTCGTCTAATTGCCCCTCTCGACACAACGCACTTATCATAATACTATACGTAACCACATTAAACTCACACCTATTCGAAAACATTTCGTTAATCAACTCCGCCCCGTCATCCCATTTCCCCTGATTCAGCAACGCCCTCAACAAGATATTATACGATATCACATCGGGCTTGCAGTTCCTACTCGTTAAGCTCCTAACGAAATCGAACGCCTCGTCCATCAACCCTTCTCTGCACATCCCCCTAATCACGGTGTTGTACGTGTACATATCCGGTTTCAGCCCCCTCGACAGTATCTCGTCGAAGAGCTTCATGGCTTCCCCGATCCCACCCTCGAGAATCGTGGCCTCTATAAGTATCGTGTAAGTGATCACGGTGGGGAGACACCTGTCATCCATCAACTGGTCGAGCATCTCGAGCGCCATATCGAGCTTCCCTCGATTGCAGAGGCTGCCGATCAAGATGTTGTACGTCACGATATCGGGCGAAAACCCTCGAGCCCGCATACGACTCAACACCCCGTTAGCGGAATCGATCCGGTTCACTTTGCACAAGCCGCTGATGTACGCATTGTACGCGAAAATATCCGGCTCGCCGTATCTCTCGAGAATGTCCATCACCTTAACGGCTTTATCGACGCTTTTCGAGTTGAAGAAGCCCTTTATCAGCTTAGTGCAGAGGATGACGTCAGCCTTGTGTCCTGAATTCATCATGCATTCGAGTAGGTAAAGACCCTCATCGTAGTTGCCTGCTTTGCAGGATCTGTGGAGGAGTTTAGTGAAATGGGTTTCTTTGAAATCTTTGTAGAAGGGGAGATGGGGGTTCGGCGGCCGGTTGTTGTTGTTGTCGGTGGAAATTACCTTATTACCCCTCTGTGGGATTCTGTAATTATTACTGGTGTTCTTGGATTCACTGTAGCTGCTGCTGCTGCATCTGAAAACATGAGGGTTTTGATGATGGGATTTAGTGATGGAGAGTTTCTTGTTTTGGGTAAAGATAAGAGCTTGAGGGAAAAACTCTGCGCAGAAGATTGTTGTTGTAGTCATTAGATAGTATAACAGTTCTTCTTCAGTTCTCATGGACCATTTATTTATTTATTCATATTGGAAAAAATGAAAATGGAATTAAGTGGTGATTTCTCGAAGATGGCGGAGTGGAGCTCTTTCCGTTTCTTGTCCATACATATTTGAGATTTCCGTTAAATACCAGTGGATTATGTTTTGCTGAGGATAAGGAATTTGAAACCCGACCCGACCCGACCCATTCGTGCTCCTTTCGGTGTCAAATTTAGTGAAATTTTCCATATTATGTCGAATATTCTCCAGTTTTTACCCGTTTATCCTATTCGAGCTCCACATTTTGAAACAAAGTGATCATAAGATGTATCTCTTGGCTTGTAAATCAGATTGTGGTGCATCCAAAACTACATTTTTGCACAAAATGAATACAAACTAAAAAACATCCACGGAATTTAAAAGATTCAGTTGAATTTGAACCATAAAAGTGGACGTATAAGAAGATTCATAATTGATGGACGGTCATAATTACCCAAACAAGAGAGGATTTTTCGTAATTTGACTTTACATTCATGATCATGGGTAGTCGTAATTTACACCTTATAATAACTGAAATGCTAATTGCAACGGGGTTTTTACTGAAATTGATTTATTTACAGATGTAGTCTCATTTGTCAATTTTCTAACTTTCTAAGAAAATCGAAACTCTTTCAACTAAAAAAAAGTCGAAAACTTAGAATTTAAAGGTCGTTTGACAAATTCGAAACCAAACAACAACAATTTTTTCGATGATTGATTCCAATTACTTTTGCAAGGTAAAAACGAAGGGGAAAAAAATTGAAGGGTGTGATCGTGCTATGCAGTACGTGGGGAGGACAGGAATCTAGGGTATTATTATTATTATTATTATTATTATTTTTTTTTATTCCTTAGTATTATTTGGTAGGGTGATGATGATGATGATTTTGAAGAAGAATTTGACGATGAATATGCAAATGAATACAATAATGCCAATATGTGTTATCATATTTCTCAAATAATTACATAATTGGATATTAAAAAAAAAAACACCATGCAGGGCACGATTGCTTGAAGAATCTTCAAGTTTTTGTGCCCTAGAGAATGAGAAGTTCAAAATAATTTTATTTTCTTAGAAATTTACCTTGATCTAATCATAAACATGTGGTTTTACCGGAATCGAGCCTCGTTTGCTACAGATTCAAAGTCGAAATATTTTTAGAAACTCGAATATCTTGAAAGAGTTTGAGAGAAGAAGAGATAATTTAAAAAAAAAAAAAAACAAATGAAAAAGATTCCACCGAATTCAGCAACAGTCCCCCAACAAATAGAAACACCCTTTAATAATTACACCTCTTATGAATATGCTATCTGGGCTGCCCCGAACTCGCCCACCCGGCCCATTGCCTCGTCACAATCCAAAAGATTCGGTTGACCCGAACCCGAACCCGAACCCGAACCCGATCCAGATCACGATCTCGCCATTCGGACGCCACAGCCCCATTAAAAAGTCGCACAGATTACGTGCATCCTTCTTAGTTCTTTGCATCTTCTCCACTGCACTCTCTCTGATTGATTCCATTCTTTCTTCTCCGGGATCTGCAATTCTTACGTTCATCATCGCTTAATTAATTTAATTTTTTCTGTGAAATTAATTCTGTTGGGCTCAAAGAAATACCCGATTTCTTACAATCAATCAATCCCCACCGCCATTGATTCATAAAAAAAATGATAGGTCTGGGTTTATCTGCTCTGATAGGCATAAAGGCTGCATCTTTATTCATCCTCTTCGCGTATCTTAGGGTTCTAAGTTTCACTCTTCTCTCAATCCCCTTCCTCTACGCATCTCTAGTATCTCTCCTGGTCGCAATCGCTTCCCACCCATCAATTAATCTGCCGATTCTCCTGGGCAAAGGCTCCGATGGGAGATTCCCGATTTGGGCGCTGATTATCTTCAGTCCGTACTTGTATTTCGTTAGGGCTTTTTCAGCTCTCAGAAGGTTTACAAGTGGGGAGGCTCCGTATACCGAGATTTCTCAAGGGTTGTTTGTTGGGGGTTGGCCTTACTCCAATGATAAGCTGCCACCTGGCAAGCCCGCCATTGTCGATTGCACCTGCGAGTTGCCGAGGAAGGAGGAGGTTTCCGGGAGTGCGTACTTGTGCGTTCCCACGTGGGATACGCGCTCCCCTCAGCCGAGCGAGATCGAGAGTGCTGTGAATTGGGCTTGTAGGAAGAGGAATCAGAAGATTCCCGTTTTTATCCACTGCGCTTATGGTAAATTTATCGAACCCCCCTTGAAGCGAAGCACGTTTTTTAGTAGTCGAAAAAAATCGGATTGTCGTTTCTGTTACATTTTGTATATGCATTCATTATAGGTGAAGATGTGATGAATTAGTTATCTGCTGAATTCGGAGATTTCCGTTTAAAATCGGAACGCATAGTGCTTAGTCAGATTGTCGAAATTTGAACCTTTTTGCGTTATGATTAAACTTAATGAACCAAGATTTGATGTATTCGTTGCAAACATTTTTTAACAGAACGAAGTCGTAGTATGTATTATACTCCCGTTTTATCTTTAGCCCGTTCATTATATGCAATGGACGAGGCAGCATAAGCTGTGTTGTGCTCGACCCTCTGGTTTTGCTTCAGGTCAACTTGACCGACGAAAGATTCTTGGCCTTTTCGATTTGATAAACATTGAGATTTATTACAAAAGTTGTTGTCTTTTTCGTCAGAAAGAAAATGTAGAGTCAACTAATACTGTTAATTTGATTTCAGGTCATGGAAGAAGTGTGGCAGTAATGTGTGCTCTGTTAGTAGCTCTTGGGTTGGCTGAAGATTGGAAAAACGCAGAAAAGATGATTAAAGAAAAACGGCCTTTCATTCGTATGAATGCTCTTCACCGCCAATCCCTCGAAGAATGGTCAAAGCACCGATTATCTCCACTTAAAAGGAGATAATCGACTATTCGCAATGGATTTTTTAATTGATGTTACCCCATATTTCAACACTTTGTTTCTTTGATGTATTGCAATTAATTTCACTTTCTTCCCTGTATTTGGATTGTGTTTTCGTCGATCTTTCTTTCTATTTGTGTTGTGAGAGTGGTTGGATAGAGTGATGTTGATCGATATTGTTGGCGACGAGTTAGTTATATTTACTGGAAATCGAAACGAGCAAAGTGTTTATAGAAAGTTGATTATTAACTATAATACACACAAAAGTTGTTAGAAGCCGTAAATGAAGTCGAAATAGTATTTAAGTTCCAGACGTACCACCACTGCCAGCATGCTTAGCTGCTTCCGATTTGCTTACAGTCATAAACGATTCGCCACAGCCACACTGCCCGGCTGAGTTCGGGTTGATGAATATGAACTCAGATCTGCTCGGGACCAAAGTCGACATGCAACTGTGTTATAATTCGTCATTTCACCGTTTTAAATGACAAAAAATGTATAAAACGAAACAAACTATAAAGGATTTAGATCAATCGAATCTGCAAAAAGAAACGGAAAAAACTATGCATTATACCTGAGTTTGTCGTCTACAAAATCCATCTTGGTTCCAATGACATGCATTAGTGCTTTTGGATCGATTATAATCTTTACTCCTTTGTCCTCGACCAACTCGTCGAACTTCCCTTTCTCATCTGCAATCACAAGAAAGTCGATACAGCAAAACCGATTAAGAGAAATCCGAGAATACAGAATTCCAACCATGGTAGGAAAAAGCCTTTCAAGTGAAACAAGGCTTTTCGGAGTATTTAAGAAATAATTAAGGCCTCGTTTGGTTGTCAAGATTCAGAGTAATTAAAAATATATTAGTAACTTGTTTCGTTGTCAGGATAAAATTAAATAATCTAATGACCCAATTATTTTATCGGAACCCAGCCAAATGATAATATAACAACAGTGCTTATTTCATGATTTTATCCCAATCTTAAAAAAAACAAAGAAGGTAGAATTAAGCTAACAAATCAATTTCGATTATGATTCTATAAACTAAGCTAACAAATAACCTAACTGAAAAAAGGAAATCGAAGAAGATGAATCGGAGTTTACCGGCGTAATTAAGGGTGTAGGATAAGCCGTTGCAGCCGCGAGCCTTAACGCCGAGCTTCAGGAAAGAGCGGCGGCGCTGCTCGAGGAGGTGGCGTATTCTAGAGGCCGCGGCCTCCGTTAAGGATAGCACTTGCTTTCTCATGATCGATCGATCGATCTTCCTTCTTCCCCCTTTCAGAATCGTAGCCGCCATTTGAGGGGAGTTTCTGATATGGGCTTTGAATTTTTAAGCCCATTGGGCTTACAATTTTATGATTACGGAATAATCCAAAATCTTGGCGGAAATTTCAAAATACCAGAGAAATTCCAGTCAAATAAATAATTCAATGGAAATGCTGAGCTTATTGCTGCAAGATGCAATTTTTTTCTTTCTATTTCTGCCGAACAGAGGACAGAGGGCATCCATTAAAGAATGACGATGAAACCTTTGGTGGTACTAACACAGAAAATATCGCAACTTTCGCTCAGAGGACAAATTGCGGACGCAAGAAAAATATTCGATCAAATGTCCGTACGCGATTCTGTTTCTTGGAACGTAATGACGAGATGCTACATCGAAAACAATTTGATCGACGATGCACGGGAACTGTTCGATGAAATGCCTGAGAGGACTTCCGTTTCTTGGAGCACCATGATAATGGGCTACGCAAAAGCTGGTAAAACTCACATAGCACATAAGCTGTTTGTAGTAATGCCTGACAAAGATGTGGTGAGCTGGACAGCCATGGTTACTGCACTCTTCCATGCTTCGCGTGTCGATGATGCATGGCGGTTATTTACGCAAATGCCCTTCCCCAATGCCGTCTCTTGGTCGTCCGTAGTGTCGGGTTTTCAGCAACAAGGGTTTGCGAATCAGAGCTTCCATGCATTCAAAGAGATGCTATGTACCGGAATCCAACCGAATTCCCATTCGTTCACTAGCATCTTATCAGCTTGTGCGGATTTATCAATGGCTACGGTAAGTGAGCAAGTATTTTCTCAGCTTCTCAAACGGGGTTTCCAATCCGACACACACGTCGCAAATTCAGCAATTTCGACCTTCTTCAAAACCGGAAATTTCAACGACGCAAGGCTCGTTTTTTCGGAAATGGACAAACCCGATCGTGTGACGTGGAATTCTATGATAATGGGGTTTTCGCAGCACGGGTATGGATTAGAAGCAACGATGCTATTCCATCAAATGCAAAAGGCTCGATTTTTACCGGATAGCATCAGCTATGTAGGAGTTCTACACGGGTGTAGCCATTGCGGGTTTTTAGAGGAAGGCATCCGCTACTTCAACTCCATGATAAGGGACAGTGGGATATCGCCAGGTGTCGAGCATTTCTCCACAATGGTGGATCTTTACGCGCGCGGTGGAAAGATTGAGGAGGCGTATCGGCTTATGGTGGCGATGCCGTTTGAGCCGACTATAGTGTTCTGGAGGGCTTTGTTGAGTGGGTGCATGACTAATCGGGATTTGGGACTGGGTGTTTATGCAGCGGAAAAAATGTTGGAAATCGAACCGGTTAGTTCAAGTGGGTGTTTGATGGCGGTTAATGTTTTCGCATTGGCCGGAAAATGGGATGACGTGGCGGAGACGAGGAAGCGGATGAGGGAGGAGGGTGGTGGAAGAAAGGAGTTGGGGTGTAGTTGGATTGATATTAAGGGGAGGAATTATTTATTTAGTAGAGGAGATTTAATTCATTCTGAGGCTGATCAATTCTTACCTATTGTTGATTTATTGGTATATGATATAGCTACATATTTTTTAACAATGGAGGAATCTTTAGATGGATTGGATTAGTGTTTTGTGTTAGATGCTTTGTTTTATGATAATTTGCATCCACCTCCCCTGAACTTTGGTCTTTTGGCAAGTACATACCAGACTTTTTATCTTTGGGCGTATACACCCTTCATCCATTTTAATGAAATTGCATATAAAAATTAATTTTTTAAATTAGTGAAGAAAATTGTAGAATTGCATCGTGAGGTGCACCATCATATGTATATATGGGGTTTACTTGACAAAGGCTAAAGATTTAAATGCCATATGACTGCAAATTGATGAGAAAGAAAAATCCAAAATAATAAGGCAATGTTTGGTTCCATTTTCATCTCGTTTTTGTTCTTTCTTGGAAATGAATCTATGTTCGTTAAGATTTTTAAAACAAATTCCCATAACAATTTTAAAAGCTTATCTCTACTACTCCAGACATGATTTGATTGTTACAGTAGAAAAAAATTCGACTCCTACAACAGAAAATGTATTCACTAAAAAACAAACAAATATTACTTTATTTGAAATTAATTCTTTTACAATACATTTTCTCCAACACATTTAAACATATTTTAACTGCTAAAACATAAACAAATAATTACTTTAATTCTCAAATTATATTTCCGCAAAATAAAATGAAATAACTTGGAAACCGAACCCAAACATTGGGCAAAGGAGTTTTGATTGGGGCAAAAAAGTAAACCTCAATTGAACAAGCATGTGCTGACGCCTGAGAACATGCTTGATAATGGATTTATTTTTATTGAAAAAAGAAAGGGTTAATTATAATTAAAAAAAAAATGATAATTAAATAATAATAAATATTGACAACATTAGTAATAAAATAAATAAAAGAATAATAAAAATTAAAATCAGAAAATAAGTCGTCCCCCTATAATTGGAAGAGCTAATGGCGTCAAAAGGTTACCCAAGAGACAGTCTTCTTCCATCATCACAGAAGACAGCGACCCTTCGCTTCTCTCTCACACACTCTACGTGTTTCTAGTGTGTGTGTGTGTGCGCGCCTAACTTTTTTTTTAATTTAATTATTTTTTTTGAAATAATTAAATATTTGGCGATCCTAGTATATATATACTTGAGTTCGTTGCACCCTAATTCATTATCTTAATTATCTCTCTCTCTCTCTCTAAAATAATCAAGGTTTCTCTCTCTTAATGTCAACTATCAGCATTATTAATCCCTCAAGCGGCCTGATCAAATCAGGACCGTCGATCAAATCCAATTACTCTGTAATCGGAACTACAAAATCGTACTCATTAGCGTCGGCGAAAAGTGTTTCGAGATCGTTCGGGTTGAAATCGCGGAACTCGTCTTCGTTCAGAGCATCTGCAATGGCGGCGGCGGCGGTGTACAAAGTGAAGCTGATTGGTCCGGATGGGGAGGAGCAGGAGTTCGAAGCCCATGGAGACGAGTACATACTCGACGCTGCGGAAAACGCGGGGATCGATCTGCCGTACTCGTGCCGCGCTGGATCGTGCTGCACGTGCGCCGGGCATTTGGTCTCCGGCGAGGTTGACCAATCGGAGGGCTCTTTTCTTATCGACGACCAAATGGAGAAGGGCTATATACTCACCTGCATTTCTTACCCTAAATCGGATTGCGTTGTCTACACTCACAAGGAGGAAGACCTCCATTGAAACGTCGATCGAATATTCTGTTATTTCGGATCGTGAATCGGGAATATTCTGTTATTCACCCTTTTTTCTAATGTTTGGCCCTCGTGGCACATCTTTCTATTATATGTTACGATGTTTCAAGATACAATTTGTTTAGTTTGATGTTTCATTTCATATTTTATATCATAAATATATAATATTAATGCAACTAAATTCATAATATATAATTTAAAGAAATTAAATTATCGCAGTTTTTGGCTATGTTGCACGCACACATCAACTTTTCATTGGTCGGAAACATCTTTGTTCCGATTTCGGACATGCCCAAAACTCTATGGGTTGTTTCTATAGTCCTCGGAAAATTATAAATGCTTTTCTCTTTAATTCTTTAAAAATCTATATATATATCAAGGTTGTAAAAATCGGTAATCGGGTCCGAGTCGGTCAGACACCGACTCACGATTAATCGGTGCGGCGGTGATTAATCGGTGATAAATCGGAAATAAATCGGTTTTTAAAATTTAATATAATATATTTGTAGATATTATTTATAAACACTCAAAACATAGATAAAAAATATTTAAACATAGTTATATCTCCATCATGTATATATACTCTAAAACATAATAAAAGTTTAATAATAATAAGATCATAATACATAAATATCCTTATAAAATATAAATAAAAAGGCAATTTTTTTTGAATTTACATACATTCTTGGCATACATCATTAGTTCTTTAAAAATAATAATTAACATAAACAAAATAAAGCATAAACTCTTTTTTTTATTAAAATCCCAACTTTTATTTTGATTTATAAAAAAAAAAAAAAAAAAAAAAAAAAAAAAAAAAAAAAACGGATTTTTGACCGATTTTTTGCCGATTTGACCGCCTCGGACCGCCTCGGACCGCCTCAGACCGCCTCGGACCGCCTCACAAGCAAAAAACCGATTTTTCAAACCTTTACACTAAAATCGTAAAGGTTTTGGACCGCCTCCGCCTCGGCGACCGATTAATCGGCCGCCTCGGCCGATTTTTAGAACACTGATATATATATATAAAGACAATCCATGGCATAATATGTTGACATGTGGCGCTTTAGGGTTTCAAAACCCTAGGGCAGTTTTTATAATTTTCTGATAATCCTATGACTATTTTGCAAAAAATATAATATGTTTGTACCCCATCTCCTCCCCAACTGCATCTGTAACTTCTCACCATTTTTATTCCGTAACTTCTCTTCATCAGTCGTTTGCTTGAAAGAATCGCACACAGAATTCTTTCAAGTGTTTGGTTTTTCGTGTCCGTGCGATCATTGGTCAGTTTTAATTGTAATACTGCCGATATTTATTTGAGAAAAAAATATTCGGAAAAGATTGGGAGAACATGTTTTACAAGTCCGAGTCCCATTTATGTTTCTTCATTCATCTTTTCAAGTTTGGTAAGTTTCCAGCCATTTCTTGCACTTTATCTGTCAAAAACTTCTCTTCCAAAACAATATTCTCTCTATTCTTACTATTTTTTGTCTTCATATTCTTCATTTCATTGGTCCAGGGAAAGTTGGAAACATTCAAAAGTTTTCTTTTTTATTTTTTTTCTATACATTTGATCTATTATAACTGTTAATTTTTCTTCCTTGCTATATTTGACAGATGTTGTATTGACTTGGGTTTTTTTTTTTTTTTTTGTGTGTGTGTGTTGTTCTTTGGTTGTATTTATCTCATGTCTCTTATGTCGTTGTTTTCTTTTGTAGATGGGTGTATCACCTTTGCGGCACATCGAGATAAGGCGAATGGGACGTCGAATAAGGCATCGAAGAAGGTTCCCTCTACGTTGGGAGGTTCTTCGGGTCGTTTGCCTCGAGAGACGGTCCATGTAGAGACTCCTCGAGTTATTGAAGACGACCGTAGCTGTGTTGGTGAAGTGGAGGGGCGTACACCTAAGAGAGATCGTGGCAAGGGAAAGAGGGTAGATACTGAGTACGTGGCTGTGCCAAAGCGTCCACGGGTAGACCCAGAGGAGACTTATGCTTTCCATGGTGGGGCAGGGAAACAGTTGTTTACCTTTGGCGTGAATCGTGAAGGGAAGGAATCGTATTGGGATGTGTCGGACCATGACTTGCCGATGTTGAGTACCGAGGGATTCGTTCGGGAGAACGACCGTGCTCTGATGTCTGGTAAGGGCCCTTCACACATGTTGGAGTTGGCTGGTGGGGACATATGTCGGATGAGTACTTGCTTTTTAAAACAAGATTTTATGTTTATTTCCTCTATTTCTTGTGTATTTTTTTTTTCTTTTTTTTATATAGTTGGTAGCGACTTGGAGATATCTCATGGAGCATGATGGGAACGTGGAAGCTAGGAAGGAAGAGGAGCGGACTCAAAGTCAAGCGCGTGAGCACGAACTTCGAAGCCAGTTGGAGATAGCGCGGTCCGATCTTGCTCAACGGACGGAAGAGCTTGCTCAGAGGACAGAGGAGCTCGAGGTTATCCGAGGTGAGGCGAGGGCGTATAAGGATGATGTTCAGAAGTTGAACGAGTGCTATGACCAGCTGAAAGAGAAATACGAAGTTGAGAAGGCGACGGGAAAGAGGTTCCTCGCGACGTCAGGTGGTGATGTTTATAAGGAGTCCATCGTGGAGGAAACCAAGCTTGGTTTCCGAGGTAGTGCTGAGTGTGTTGCTATGATTGAGGAACATGCTTTGGCTGTGGTCTATAAGCCATTAGTTCGTGCCTGTCGCAAATACCTTCGCGAGGCGGGTGGTATCAGTGAGAGGGTCATTTGTGGAATGAAATCCGGCATATCCGATGAAGAGGAGGATGAGGTAGATGTCAACGAGACGAGCACAGAGCTCGTGGATGACATGGTTGCTGATGATCCCACCGCGGAGGCGGAGTTTAGATTTATTTGCTAGGATAGTTAAACTCTTTTTTTATCTATTATTTGCTATGGATTTTGTAGTTTATTTTTGTCGCTGATGAAGATGGGTATGTCCACTACTATTTCGTTTGAATTTCTTCCTTGTTTGATATTTGAAGTTTGATATCTCGATTTATTTATTTTGACATTGTCAAGAGTTTTATGCGTTGCTTATGTGTATTTACATTTAGCATTGTACGCGATGTACTTGAGGAGGGGATCAATCTCCCAAGGTTTTTGTTAAGGGTCGTGCCCTTTGTTTGGACCGCTTGGGTCTTAAATATATTTGTCCGTGGCCACGTTTTAAAAGTATCACCTCGTGAAATAAATAAAGAGACTTAGACAATCCAGCTGGCCAGGCTATATGGATTATCTAAATTTCGTTAAGTGTTTGTAGGGTTATACTGAATTGAACTCGTTGTAACGGGTAATTAGTATAGATGTAATGGCACAGAGAGTAAAGCAAAACTTAATTTATTCAATGATGGAAAGTGTGAATTGTCACAAGCCTACATGAGGCAAAAAAAAAATAAAATTGTAAAAAGCAAATGAGTTGAAATAATGAAAACTATTCTATGTGCCTCTAATAATTTATTCTTCTTCCACGTCTTTCTTGTACTCGTCTGTGCTTGATGTGTTGGTGGTATGTCGATTGACCTGGGTGCCTCTATGCCCGAAAAGTATAGTAGAAAATTCTAAGTACTTGTGCTGAAGATTTAGTAACTTCATAAGTAGGGGTGATGTGTATTAGAAGGTTACGTACCCAATGGGGACCGTTCCTCTTTCTCGCATTACGAGATAGAAATCAACTCGTGAGTTTCGTTAATCACACCTGTCAAACGGGATGGTGTTATTATGTTACTATGGTTATCGAAGAAGGTGTGTGTGATATCACTTAGTAGAAGCGGTGTTACCCTTGGTGAGATAGTATGGAGTATCTTCTCACTTTGGGCAAGTAATAGGTGGTAGGCATCCCTCGTAATTAATTCTCCATCTGTAAGAAGGTGATGAAAGGTGGTTATGGAATGTTGATGTAGGTGATATTAATAGCCCCCGGTTTGGGTGGGACGTTTACGCACCTCGTATATAAGAAAATTATAATATATTCATAAATATATACCTTGATTTTTGTTTTCTTGGATATTGATGTATATGGCCTAAAATATAATAAGCCCAAAACTTATAATTATAAGTATATGGCCCATTTATAAGGTAGTCCATATTAAATTTTCAAGCCCATGATTAATTGATTTAGTATATAAATAATTCCATCTTGTTACAGAAAAATGTATTATTATTAGTATTATCTTTTGATTGCAGAATATTTCTTATGTTCATTGGAGGGTTTTCGTCGGAATCAAACTCCGGCGCCCTAACGTGAGTTTTTTACGCAGAAAACCCCTAGTTACTCCCATTTGAAGAGAATTATCGAAGAACTATTTCAATTCCCGAATATTTATTCTCGAGAATCATCAAAAGATGATTCGAGTTAACTTATTATTGACCGCATCAGATATATTATTTCAAATTCCACCGTTTCCATGTACGTGCAAAATAAGTTGTTGGATACAATGCAACAAGATGAATAATAGAATAGACGGAAAAAAAAATTAGAAATAGCAAGAGAAAATCTCCAATGTTTCAAACTCTGATTTTAATTTTCATATAAATCCATAACAGTATTCAACAATGCTGTCATTTTTGGTAATTGTTACACCCAATTTCAAACAAGAGCGACTGATTTATATTTTTATAATAACAAGAATTTCTTATTTTTATATTTACAAAATACGTGTCAATATTAAAAAATAAATTATAAATTAAATTAAAAAAAAAAAAAAAATTCAAAGATTGTGAGCCTCCATTTTTGGAATTTGAAATTTACAACATTTTTCTTTTATTACAACAGATAATAAAGACAAAAAGAAAAATATATATAAATATTTATTCAGTATTTCATTAATTAATTTTGGGTATGTAAAAAAGTGGGTCCCCCGATTGAAAACACTCTTGTTTCCGTGTACTTGTGCACAACGACCAATCAAGACAATTGGCGCCACATGATTTGACCACTTACCTGATTCGAGCCGGTCAGCAGCCACCAGACCGGCCGGTTCACGCTTCCCGATTTTTCTGAGACCGGGTTCTGAATAATGAACTGAAAAGCCTCGAGAACCGGGTTTTCCTACCGTCGGCAGTCTTGAACCGGACCCGCCCAGTGCAAGAGACCCGTGGAGAAACCGGTTCAGCTAGAAGCACCATGGACTTCCAGCCCGGTTCGGACCGGCTTCTGAACAAAAAACCGCCGGGCTTCTTCTCCGGCGGAGCTCCGTCGAGCCCTGAGGGTTTCTGGGACTTGGGTAGCCCAAAAACTGATGGTCTGGCTGATTTGGGGGCGTCGGAGGAGCGATGAGAAGAAATGGAGGTGAAGGTGCGGTTGAAGCCGAGCTTCAATGAAGTTTTGCGCTGCAGCATTACCGCATTCCGATCGAACCAGTCTTGCTCGTTTTCGATTGGAACCCAGAAGGATTCCGGTGGAAGATCGGAGAGATTTGTTTCCAGTGGATCTAATAACTTCGACTCTGCGTAATCCATACTTTCTTGCTAATAATCTGCAGCCGTGTGTGTGTGTGGAGAGAGAGAGAGAGAGAGAGAGAGAGAGAGAGAGAGAGAGAGAGAGAGAGATTTGGAAATGGGGAAGATTAATTGAAGAAGCATATGGTGTGTCTCCCCCACAAGATAATGACAAAGGGTTTTCATGCATGGTGTTGATCAGGACAAACGACATTTCAAATCTTAATTTTAAAACAACTAAGGTTGTTTTGTAAGCCATTCCATATATCTAACAAATTTTACTTTTTTGGTGTATTTAATTGGTTTATTTTATATAGAAAAAATAGTAGTTTTTTTGTTAGGAATAAAACGATAAGTTTTGGGTCGATAAAATAATTTTTATGATTGTGCCACTAAATCTCGACGGCCCAACTTCTGAAAATGCCCTATAGCCCAACCGAGATCAACGAACACTCTTAATCTTGACCGTTCAGATTACTTCGTTTAATCGCAAACGTTCACTCCGCTCTTGATCTCAACTCCTTCTTTTATAATGAAGGAACTCGTAGCCAAACATATAGGGGCAATGGGGCTAAACTATACTCTCGTGTAATATCTTGCAAATCATGTGTGTGATAAGCTTGATCTAGCGATTGTTGATAAGAAAATTCGAATTTTGGTCAATTAACAGAAGCTCAGTTGATCATAATTGACATGAGGTAATGTGGGGTTTTATTGTGTGGTGGTGGTGTATGTTGAATAATTATGGAGGTGCAATGAAACTAATCAAAGTCTAGTATTTGTACACTTTTAAAGGTAGCTAGTAGACATCCCCTTCAATTCAAACCACATCATCAAAATTATGTCTTAATTATCAATCACATGATTGGTTCCATATTATTACACAATAATTATCTCTTCAATGTTCATGGTGTATATATATATGCATACACGAATGTGTATATATATATATATATATATATATATATATATATATATATATATATATATATATATGATGTGAAAGTCCAAATTTGAATGTTTAATTTTCCACATTGATTTTTACAACAAATCCAATTTAATACTATTTCACACCCCTATCGTTGGTTTAAATTATTGTTTCTGTACTTTTTTTCATTAAAAAATCAAAATAAAAAAAATTATTGTTTCTAAATTTTGAATCTTGATCAACATCTCTACCGTACGGGCTTATAACGAATTTGTCAAATTTCAAGTCCACAAAAGGGGTTTCAATTTAATTTGTAAGTCAATATTGAAATTAATTCATGCCAGATGGCATTTATTTTATTAATCTTCAATTCACACATGTAATGTATGTATTCAATTATTCATATGAAACTTAGAGGGTGTTTGGCTAAGATTATTTTAAAGAGCTGATAAACTCTTACGTCTGATAAGATGTTTTAAGAGCTGATAAGTTGTTATATCTTATTTTTAGGATTAATTTTTAGAGTGTTTGGATATTGAATTTATTTCATTTTTTTACGCATTATAAGATCTTAAATAAAAATGTGGGGTAGAGGTACTATTTTAAAAATATGTTATTTGCTCTCCAACAACTTATTTTAAAAGAAATTAAGATCTTTTTAAAAAAATTACCAAACAACTTGGAAGAGCTTATAAACTCTAAAATATCTTATAAGCTCATTTTAACATCTTATAAGCTTAGCCAAACACCCTCTTACAAACATTAATCCGAATTACATTCTTAAATCACAATCACAAAGCAGCCAAACATACCTCTTCAAGATATTATTGCAATATAGCCAATAATAATTAATAGAATAACCCATTTATTTCAAATTATATGTTGATTACCAAAAAAAAAAAATTATACATGTGGTATTAAATGTTAACCAAAAGCACTGGCTTGTTTGCAATATATGTTCTTGACAAAAGTCCCAAGCTAGCAATAACGTACTTAACTAATAATCCACCTGTAATGAGAGAATTTCATTTAATATAATGTGTTATTTTTATTGCAAAATGAGTAAAGGAAAATTCACATAAAGAGGGTGATAATAGTAAATGTTTATAATCTCTCCTATAAATACTATTCTCTTATTCTTGTTCTAAACCATTCTATACATCATCATATTATTCATATTCTATAACTTAGAAAACAATAAAAAAAAAAAAAAAAACCCGGAAAAAATGGATAGGAAGTTCATTGTTACTATGATGCTGTTCTTTCTTCTCTCCGTAGTTTCATGTAAGTAATTCTCTCTCTCCTTTCTCTCTCTAGATCTCACTCGTATATATACGTACGAATGGTGGAATATAATGAATTAATAATGACAGTGGAACGAGCGGAGGGGAAGTTGTGTTCGGCGTCGAGTCAGCTGTTCCGAGGGCTGTGCATAGTAGAGAGGAATTGTTTGACTGCATGTGAGAAGGAAGGTTTTGAGGATGGCAAATGTGAAGGTATTTTGATGCAATGCATTTGCTACAAGAGCTGTGGTTCTTCTACTACTACTCACCCAATTACTCCTCCTAATTAGTTTAATTAATTCATTTATTTAATTAATACATATATAATTAATCACCATTATTAATTATATATGTATATATCCAGGCATCTCTTTGTTCTAGCTAAACCCCATATTTGTAGTTATATATATTATATATGTTTCACTTTATGCAAATGAAGGTGTAACGTTTCTTATTAATTTCATTTTAGTTATATGTGTTTCTCATGGTTATGAAATGACCGATATGCCCCTTACCGGTGCTCAAGTATTTGCACAATTGTTATTCAACTTTTAGTTATATTTTCTTCAATTGTTTAACTAGCACAATAAATTATAGGGTAAATTACAAACACCCATGATATATGGTCGAATTACAAAAAACCCCTTTATATTTGGATAATTACAAGTACCCCTCAACTGCGAATCTTCTTACACGTCCACGTTCATGGTGTCAAATTCAACATAATTTTCTTACACATTCCATGGAAGGTTCTCTAGTTTGTAATCGTTTTGTGCAAATTAAAATGCAATTTCTGATGCACCACAATCTGATACATACAAGCCAAAAAATACGTCTTATTGTCATATTGCTTCAAAACGTGAAGCTCGAATGGGATAAAAACGGGTACAAAATTGATAACGTTCTACTAAATTTAATATCGCAAGGGTGGACGTATAAGAAAATTCGTAATTGAGAGATGATGGTTACAAGAGAGCATCAAAATAAATGGCCTAGTTGGTTAAAAGCAAAAGTCTCCTTTAAAAAAAATGCAATGGCCCAGTCCACATGTAAAAGCACGAAACCAAAGCCCCTTCTTTTTGTTTTTTTTGATAATTAACCCAAAGCCCTTTAAGCCACAGAAAACAGCAAAACAAGTGTTTGTTTTCAAGCAGTTTTCAGTTTAATCCATTTTATATTAAAATTGCATTTGGATAATACAAGGCCTCGAAAAATCAATATTTAAAAATTCCTGTTAATTCGAAACCTTATCTTCCTCGAACACTATCTAATAAAAGATTCGAGGGTACGATGTATTGTGACAAGTTAATCATCTAATTTATGACAGATTATTTTATCAACTTTTCTTATAAAAAAAAAGATTAGCTTTTCCAATTTCCTACTTTAGTAAAAGTTGACACAACAAACTTTTGTGGTCCAAGTAAACCATTCAGGAACAATATATATATACACACACACACACACAGAGAAACTGTAATTGCATGAACACACATAAGCAAAAAAATGAGAAGCAAACAAGAACTGAAGTTTCTGATCATAGCCTTATTATGTTTTTGCATTCATCAATCTCAACAAGTCTCTGGTATGCTTGCTTTGTCTTCAATCTTATCGTATTTTTTCGTTTTTTATTAGAGAAAAAAAGGTTGAACGTGTATACCGAAATAATTACTTAATCTATCTATATATAAGGTAGTAGATTTATATTGTACTGTGCACAGTTCATTCACAGGATATTAAAACGGAAGCAAAAGTTCACGGTGAGAAGAAATTTGGGCATGGAACTAGCGGTGGTGGAGGGACAGGTGGCGATACAAACGGTGGTGGGTCCCACTCACCGTACGGGCAGGGAGGTGGCGGTGCAATACCCGTCTATGCCGCCGGCGCGCTGAATAACCACCACTACCATCACGGCGGAGTAAACCACCCCCACAAAACCAAACCTGCAACTTTGACCATAGCTACTACATTTGCATGCCTTTTTCTTCTGTGTTTTTTCATAATAGACTTGTAAGTAAACACCTTTGATGATGTAAGATAGAATTAATATAAGGAATAAATGATGCCTTGTTTGAATGTGTGTGCGCGTGTGTCTATATATATATATATATATATAGGGAGCCAACAACATAGATTCTATTCAGGCAGTATAGCCCACACACATGCATAAGAGCTGGAAAACAAAAGCAAACTTGATAAGGAGAGAGAGAGAGAGAGAGAGAGAAGGAAATGAGGGCACCACCACCATTATATAGATGTAATTTATGTACGTATTATATATATATATATATATATATATATATATATATATATAATATATATATATATATATATATATATATATATATATATATATATATATATGTATGTATGTATGTATGTATGTATGTATGTGTGTGTGTGTGTGTGTGTGTGTGTGTGTGTGTTTTGGAGTGAAGGAATCTGATGCTTAAAAATATTGCTACAATATTAAACGATGTTAATGAAAGCGAAAATCGAATAAACTCTACAAAAAAAAATACAATGTGAATTTCACAATCAATATTTTTCTACACTAAGACAATATCCAAGTAATAATTTCACAATCTGAGTGGACTTTACAATCAGGAATGCTGTTAGCAGGTCGAATTTCTACGTTTTTTCAACCTTTGCCTGCATATTAAGCTACATCACTAAAAAAAAAATCACTAATGATACACTCTCAACTTCATGGTGATTAAGCACAGCCCACCAGATGTCGTCGATAAACGAAAAACAAAAAGAAATCGAAAAAGGATTCACCTGCTTAATTATGTTGATACGAGTGGAAGCAACGGGCAATAGGAGTCGTTGTCTTAAACTCTTAATCAACCATCATGTGGAGCATAAGCGAGACTCGAACGTTGTCGCAGTATCTCTTGACCAAGTCAAAGTACTGCATTCCGTCGTGTGGTCTTAGTCCTTCCATAAAGAATCGAAACAAGTGAGAATGCGTATCGCGCATCACATCCAACGACTGCTGCAGTACTTTCTCTTGCTGTGGCTTATTTAGCTCCGTCGCTTCCATCAATGGCAGCAGCTCCTTTTCCTCCTTTTCAAAATGGTGTTTGCAGTTTTCCTGCCCCCAAAAAAATAAATAAAAAAATAATAATTACAATCAGCAATTATATCTATAAAATCGCTTCCGAGAAATAACAAAAAACGGCATCAATTTTTTTTTTACCTTTAGTTTTTTGAGGCGCGACAAAAGATTGGTGAGGGCTTCTTGATAATCGGGGCTGCCCGGATTCATAACTCCGATAGTCTTGATCTCTTCTTTGATACCGTTCATCATCGGTAATTCTCTTGCGTGTTCTTCGTTCGCAGTTTTGCACAATCCTGTTTTTATTACAAGTTTGTACATATGTTTTCTTCTCAGTCTTTTCTTGGCATAATAAACATTGGAATCGATAGGCTAATTAACATGTTCAAAATTATGCTTTCTTCGCAATGCAGTATCACACTCACACTCGATATGTTCGATATAAAGAACAAAACTTTTTCCTCGAACTGTTTCTCGATTTGTGTTAATCATATTCGTAACTATGAAACCGACTATTTAATAAGTTACCCCTGCGGCCCCCGTTTCTTGATTGATGCAAATTTGACTTACGAAACAGAAACAAGTCGGACTTTTCAAGATCTAGGCGATGAAAAATAAAATTAGAAAAAACTTGATTTTTGTTTTTTAACATTTCTACTCTAAAATTACTAATTATAGAGCAATTAATTATTCATCAAATTTCAATCTTGATGAACAATAATCAGATGTTGGATAATGTTGTACCTAATGCTGCAGTACGTGGTTGTACCTTTGATCGTGTAGAAAACATTATCCAGAAACACACACAGAAAAAAAAAAAAAAAAGAAAATTAATTACCTCGATCGGCGGATTCGAGGATCTGGAAGAGAATCTTTTCCTCCATCTGCGCGTGCTCGAGCATCACCTGCTGCAGCTGCGAGTAGCTCTTCCCGAACTTCTTCACCTCCATCCTGGGACTCCCCATCGACGGATCCCCACGCGCGTTCCCTCCACGCGCCACCATGTCCTCCGCCCACTTCACCATCCTCTCCAGATGCCAGTTCATGCTCCGGTGCTGCAGCACCACCACCCACACCACCAGCGGCGTCGTCCCGCACCACCCCCACGCGCTGTTCGTGGTGTTGTCGGGCGCGGTCAGCGGCGGGTCGGGGAACTTGGAGTCCAGGTAGCGGAGTATTTCCTCGACGGAGCCCGAAACGACGTCGGATTTGTAGATGATTGTAGGGTTTTCGTTCGCCTCGGAGGGGACGAATTGGAGCGCGACTGGCTTGTACAGGATCGCCAATCGGATTTGGGAGGTGGCGAAGCTGTTCGGCGGGCCGTAGAGTTTGATCGCCGGCGGTGATTTTATCAGCTCCGACGGCGCGATTTCCGCCGCCGATTTCTTCGCCGTCCCGAAGCAATTACCCATCGGCGTCAAGAAAATTCAGAAACCAAATCTTAATAAAATGTATCTTTGAATTATCGTGAGCGGAAATAGTGGAATCGGATTATTCTGTTGCAACAACTTAATCGGATTTTTCTTGAAAGATTTATCGTTGTTTTAGAGAGAGAAAAACACAGAGAGAGAGAGAGAGAGAGTTGAACAATGGATTAAGAGAAAACTTTTTTTGATTCGAAGATTTATGCGGGTATACGTACAGGGGTGTGTATGTATAGATGCATGTGGGATATTGCTTGATTGAGAAGGGAAGAGAGAATTGTTGAAGGAAAAACAGTGAAAAGTTTTAATGGTGGTTGGTCTGATAATTTTGAGGGTTTTTATTTTACTCTAGTATTATTATATAAACACTAAGTAATAAATTTCAGCGGCGGAGGAAAATGGTGGCGCGTGGCCTAAGGTTTGGTGAGGGAGGGAGGGTGTGTTCCTAGTCAAAGATGGTCACGTCCAAGCACGTGATCAAGCACGTGCTGATGACATCACTTGCAATGATAATATTGAAAATTTAATTTGGGCCCTGTTAAAAAGTCCGTTAAAAAATCCAGGTGGATGTAGAGCCCAATTTGGAGCGTATTTGATCCACCAGCAATCAATTAAAATTATTAATTTATAATTTATTAGTTTGTGAAATTATTATTTTTACTATTTTAAATAAATAGATATTTTTAATTTTTTTTAAACATATATTTGATTCATTGTATCATTAGTTTTTTAGTGGTCTGATAATTACTGATTTCTCGAAACAACGGTGGTGTGAACTTCAACTAGAAACAACCCACACTTCAATTTTATTTTATTAAATTCATAGATCTATACAAAAATGTAATTTAAGAATTATTTGTGTGCATCATTATTTTATATATTAGATGGAGCTTCTTAAAAAAAATCGAATGTATCTTATAAATTTAGCACGTTGTCCCGAGTCGGGACTGGAGAAAAATATTATTTAAACGGGCTTATTAATTTTTATTTCATTTTAATTAGTTTTGTTATTTTTTAGATGAAAAAAATTAATTTGTGTCCTATTTCATTTAAATAGGTGTTTAGATTTAAATTAAATGGCAAAATACACTTTACCCCCTTGTACTATGCCTCACGTAGCACTTACCCCCTCGTACTATGTAAAATACACTTACCCCCTTATTTTAATGGTCAAACTATTTGACTTTTAACGGTGTTAGTAGAAAAATAAATTTAATATAGTTTTAACAATTCCTACTAAATGACACATTTTTTTATTTAAAAAAATATTACATGTAGTATGGATAAATTAAATAAATATTTAAGATAATAATATTTTTAAATTTTGATTAAATAAGAAAACTATTATTACTTTTTAATAATTCATAAGAAATGACACCTTATTTTTATTAAAAAAAAATATATTTTCATTGTGGATAAATATATTAAATAAATATTTAACATGTATACATTTTTAAATATAGGATTAAAATATTTAATTTAAAATATTTAATCATTAAATATTTATATTAACAATTATAATTCTACAGTAATATTTTTTAACGGTATGTGCTAATGATTTATTTTATTTATTTGTAACATCAAAATTCACTTAAGCCTTTTACATTTAGGATTCACTATACGGAATTTAATGTTACAAATAAATATAAAAAATTCAATGTACACAATGTTTAATGAGTTAAATAATTTAATCCAAAATATGAAAAATTATACTTGCTACTTGGTTGTATAAAATAATATATGAAAAATTATATTATCTAAATATTAATTTTTAATATAAATATTTATCAAGTAAATTATATTTAATTCAAAATTTAAAAAGGAATTGCTATCTTAAATATTTATTTAATATATTTATAGTACGTGTGATATTTTTTTAAATAAAGAAAATGTGTCCTTTAGTAAGGATTATTAAAAATATATTAAATTTATTTTACTTCTAACACCGTTAAGAGTCAAATATGTTGACCGTTAAAATAAGGGCGTAAGTGTATTTTTCATAGTACGAGGGGTAAGTGTTATATAGGAAATAATACAAGGGGTTAAAGTGTATTTTGCCGTAAATTAAACAATGAAATTAAAAATACTGTGGTAGAAAGTGCTTCTTGAAGAGAAACCTGTCTGTGTACACATACAGTACACAATATGCTTTGACATGCTTCTTCCGGAGCAACAATTCTTGTCTGAAACTGAAACTGAAACTTCATCTTCTTCCTCCCACAATCCTTCATCAAGCACTTCGCTTCCGAAATCCGCCATCACTTCCGCCGCAGCAGAATCCAAGAAATCGTACATTCTCAGGAAATGCATCGCCCTCTTGCACTCCTGCGCCTCCTCCGTCCCCAAACTGCGGCAAGTCCACGCCTTCTCCATCAGAAATGGCGTCCCTCTTTCCAGCCCCGACATGGGGAAGTACTTGATCTTCAGCCTCGTCTCGCTTTCGGGGCCAATGCACTACGCCCGCAAAGTGTTCGATCAAATTCCCCACCCAAACATATTCACGTGGGACACGATGATCAGAGGCTACGCCGAGAGCGAAGACCCGTCTCCAGCTCTGCATATATACCAGAGATTGCGCCTGAGTTCGGTGGAACCTGATACCCACACGTACCCTTTTCTTCTCAAAGCCATCGCTAAATTGATGATCGTCAGAGAGGGGGAGAAGGTGCATTGCTCTACGTTGAAAGACGGGTTCGAGTCGTTGATGTTTGTCCAGAACGCTCTGCTTCATTTCTACGGCGCATGCGGTCGCTCGGAGAGCGCCCACTGCTTGTTTGAGAAAATGCCTTACAAGGATCTTGTGGCTTGGAACTCGGTGATTAATGGATATGCTCTGAACAATATGCCTAACGAGACATTGACCCTTTTCAGAAAAATGGGGTCGGAGAATGTTAAACCAGATGGGTTCACGTTGGTTAGTTTGTTCACCGCGTGTGCCGAGCTTGGTGCCTTGTCTTTAGGCAGGAGAGCGCACGTGTACATGACGAAAACAGGTTTAGATAAAAATTTACACGCTGCAAACGCGCTTTTAGTTCTTTACGCAAAGTGCGGGAGTATCAAAGAGGCGAAGAAGGTCTTTGATGGATTGCAGATCAAGAGCGTAGTATCATGGACTTCACTCATAGTAGGGTTGGCTGTTAATGGATTTGGTGAAGAAGCACTCGAACTTTTTAAGGAGATGGAGTTTCGGAGAATGGCTCCGAGTGAAATCACTTTTGTCGGAGTGCTGTACGCGTGCAGTCACTGTGGATTGGTGGATGAAGGATTCGCGTATTTCGAAAAAATGAAAAAGGGATACGGAATTGTGCCTAAAATCGAGCACTACGGTTGCATGGTTGATTTAATGGGCAGAGCGGGTTTAGTGAAGAAGGCGTATAAATACATTCTTGAAATGCCGGTAAAACCCAATGCTGTGATATGGAGAACTCTACTGGGTGCATGCGCAATAACCGGAGATTTATCAATCGGAGAGATTGCTAGAGAAGAATTAAGAAAGTTAGAGCCGAAGCATTGTGGAGATTACGTACTTATTTCGAATCTTTACGCGTCAGAAAGACGTTGGTCGGATGTTCACAATGTGAGAAAGGCGATGCTTGACGAAGGTGTGAGGAAGGTTCCGGGCCATAGTCTTGTCGAATTGGGGAATATTACGTACGAGTTTGTAATGGGAGATAAAACGCACGCGCAAACCGAGGCTATATATTCGAAGCTTTCGGAGATGACTAGGTTGTTGAGGCTTGAAGGGTATGCTCCACATACGTCGAACGTGCTTGCGGATATTGAGGAAGAGGAGAAGGAGACTGCTTTGTCCTACCACAGCGAGAAGATTGCGATTGCATTTGTGCTGATTAATACGCCACCTGGCACGCTGATTAGGATCGTGAAGAACTTGAGGGTGTGCGGGGATTGCCACCTGGCGATTAAACTGGTGTCGAAGATTTTCAGGCGTGAGATTGTTGTTAGGGATTGTAGCCGTTTTCATCATTTTAAGGATGGGGAGTGTTCTTGTAAAGATTATTGGTAGATTCAGTTTGAACACTTGGTTTATTTGTCGTATTCCTCTTTTTTCGTTTTCTGCCCGATTCTTGATAAACGACGCCGTTTCAGCTCACTTTGCTCGCACGTGTAGAGTAATTAACGAACCGAAACACGTCGTTTAAATACAATTTTGAGTGTTTTTTGAACACTTATGTACTACAGAATAATTGATCAGTTTTGTTTTGTATCAAATATATTCCGATCTTGAGCATCGCACCGGTCAAGTTACTAATACTAAGAAATTAAATACTACTACACATGGAATATTCAAGTTTGTCTAAATCTTCAGTTTTTGATATTACGTGTTGTTTCTCACATAACCTAAAACATCAAGAATTAAAAAAAAAAAAAAAAAAGTAAAATGACAATAATGGAAATCCCTCTCCGATCCGCAACTGCCGGTCGGTCGAACAAGCTCCAATTCTCGGGTATTTGAAGATATGATCAATGGACAAATTGAAGTAATTAAACAAACCTGACACGAAGGAGGAGGTCGACAAAACTCATCTTCTCGGTTATTTGAAGATGAGTCGAACGCAGCCTGTGAAGTATTTTTGCTCGTATATATATATTTTCTGGGACGTTAGTTTGCCATATCGACATTAATGTCCGTGTAACCATATATATATCACCGATTACGATATAGTTACGTGTATTAATTAGTTCTTGGTCTTGTTCGGATCGGTTAGGTTTACCAATTCCGTCACGAACAAACCCATATTTTCTCAAGAACAGATGATTTTTTAGCACACAATACATGTATATATACTTGTGGATTATACATGTATTATATGTCCTTGGACCTTGTCATAATTAGTATGAGAGAAACAATAATATTAATGGCAATACT